ATCTAGGTTGGCCAGGCGCCGCCAACGGCGGGAAGTTACTTGTTCGTCGTTTACTGTGTCAGGCAGACACGAGACTCCTGCTGCGCCTAGGACCATGCGTGATTGTAGCCGGTTCTGGGCATCTAATTTGCAGACGTGGCCGCCCCTGTGGGAAGGTTTGAAAACGTCGACTAGAATGGTCCCCTTGAGTCTGTCGAGTAGGGGGTGGCGCACATGGTTTATGGGGCTGCATGATCTACGCCGCATTTTGGGCGGGTCACCCAACATGTCAGTCATGGGGCCGAGGGCCTTCGATTGCCATGGCCCCTGGATGACGACGCCGAAGCTCACTCTATCGTCAGTCGCGCCATTGTGGATTCGGCACCATGAGACAACGCTGATAGTGGGGATTACACCTGGGAGGGTGCGCCCCGAGACCCCGCCAGGCATGGAAGTGGCGGGGGCTAGCGTCTCTGTTTGTCCAAACGACTCGTTGCCATTCGGTGAGCCATCGACTGTCGCTGAGCATCGTGACGACGACGCTCAGCCACGACCCGCGATCGTTGGCATTTCTAGGGCAACGGACGCTGCCAGTACGGGCGGGGGGCCCCTTCTCCGTTGCGGCGGAAAGGTCGCGCTGAAGAGGGGGCATCAGCGTCGGTTGAGGCTGATGCGACCGTGGTAGATAAGCCCAACGACGTCAACCGCGCGGGCGGTTCGCCCGACTGTAGTCGCGAGGCGGCATCTAGGCCGATCGCACGGGGTCAGATCAGTCGCGCCCCCGTCTTCATGCCTTGCTGCACCGACCAAAAGCGCCCCGATTGCCTGGCGCGCCGGCGCGCTGAGGCACGGGATAAGCAACGTCGGCGGTCAGCCTCGCTAGATGGTAAGCAACGTGGCGCCGGTGCGTCGGTGCCTGCTGGAGACGATGATCCGAAAGAACTCGGTGTGATGGTCGCCGCGGACCATGTCATGGTGGGAAGCGAGCATGATATGTCGCTGCGTTGGGATGTTGCCTGTCTTGTTGTCCTGGAAGGATGGGTATAGAGACATGGTGTGCTTTCTGTGAGACGCGGATGAAGCTTTGCGTGGCTTCCTGTAGTTCAGGGGTCCCCAGGAAATTGTGAAGTTGGTGCATTATGAAAACCGTGGGACATCCAAAGGGCATGCGAGATCTTGCAGATTCGCATCGGCTCTTCGATTCCGCGACATCCCCGCAGCAATGGACATGCTGAGCGTCCCGTTGCACGTGTCATCGAGGGCACCAAGGTGCAAAGTGCCCCCCCCCCCTCCCCCCGGACCCCACCCGCGCCTGTCGGCGGGTATCTGCTCATCCGCTACCGACTTGATGGCTGTCGCCCCCCAGGGTGAGCGGCCCTTTGCCTATGAGAGCGGGCATGACGAGCTCTTTTATGGGCATAGTTTGCATGCTGGTAGCAATGTCCGCTTCAGGTCCCTGAATTCACCCCATGCTGGTGGCAGCGAGAAGTTCGGTGATGACGCTGGGCATGGACTGTTCATGGGCCACCAGGTCATCAGTGGGTAACGGTGGTGTGGGGACTAACGTCACCGATGCTGAGTCCTGTTCTTACACTGGGGGCGGCATGCTTTGTCCCATCCTGAGCGGACGCGAGTGGAACGGAAAGAGATAGTTGCGTCGACCAGAGGCGATGTTTCGTATATGCCTATTTGTCCCTTTCGTGCCCCCGTCTTATTTTGCCCTCGCGCGGCCGCGGAGCAGTGGCTTGGAGGCCTATGTCCTCGCGTCAGTCTCGGGCTGGGACCTCCGCACCGACAGGAATTTCTTCACGCGCATCTTCAAAAAGTCGAGCACGGCCGCCCCGATTCTTGAATAGAGCGGGGCGTCTTCTTCGCTCGTCCCTGCTCATAGAAAATGTGCGCCACTTGCGTTTCGGGCCCGTGTTAGTATTTTTTCTGGTGTGGGGCCACGGGGCGAGCTCGAACCTCAAAACCCGTGAGTTCGGGTTTTTTTTGGGCGGGCACGCGCACGCGCCTCGCCCGGCGTGCTGGGCGCCAGTTTGATTATGAGCAGCAGCCCCTCTAGGCTTCGGAGGTTTCGGGGCGCCTCTCGGGCTCCCCCCCGCCGCCTCTCTTGCCTGCCTTCCTTGCCCCCGAGGAGCGAGGCGAGGCTCGGTCGATCGATTCGTACTCCGCGCATCACGCTTTGCTCGCAGTGGCGGAGGGTCAAATGGGCGCGCGCGGAGCGTCGTTGTCGTCGTCGTCCTTCTTCTTCTTTCTCCCTGCTGCTTGCGAGTGCTGAGGTGTGTGTGTGTATATATATACATACGTGGCACCCCGCAATTGCGGATAAGAATGAGGGGGCGGGCGCGGGCGACGCGGGCGTCGAACCGGCGGACCTCGTGGCCCTCACGTTCCCTGTCGATGGCGCCCTCCGCCTCCTCCTGCTCCTCCTCCTCCTCCTCCTCCTCCTGCTCCTCCTCCTGCGTCGCGGGTGGGTCGCGGGCTCTCCACCTCCACCTGGGAGGAATTCAAGAACAGCCCGCCGCAGGCGCCGAAAGTTTTGATTTGTACAGTGAGCGCGGTCTGGGTCGCAGGTTTTCCACCTGGAACGAATGCAAAAAACACCCGCCGCAGGCGCCGAATTTTTGGCTCACTCAGTGAACGTAGTTTGGGTCGCGGGTGGGTCGCGGGTTCTCCACCTCCGACTGGAAGGAATTCGAAAACAGCCCGCCGCAGGCGCCGAAAGTTTTGACTTGTACACTGAACGCGGTCTGGGTCGCAGGTGGGTCGCAGGTTCTTCACATGAACGAATGCAAAAGAAGTCCGCTGCAGGCGCCGGAAATTTTGGGTGGGTCGCGGGTAGGTCGCGGGTGGATCGCGGGTGGGTCGCGGGTGGGTCGCGGGTGGGTCGCGGGTGGGTCGCGGGGGAGGTTTCGCGGGTGGGTCTGTGGGTCGCCGGTGGGTCGCGGGTGGGTCGCCGGGGAGGTTTCGCGGTGGGTCGCTGTCGGGTCGCGGGGTGGGTCGGGTGGGTCGCGGGTGGGTCGCGGGTGGGTCGCGAGGTGGGTCGCGGGTGGTCGCGCGGTGGGTCGCGCGGTGGGTCGCGGGTGGGTCGTGGGGTGGGTCGCGGGTGGGTCGCGGGGCGGGTCGCGGGTGGGACGACAACAACAACAAACAACAAACAACAAACATAACAACAACAACACCAACAACAACAACAAAAACAACAACAACAACAACAACAACAACAACAACAACAACAACAACAACAACAACAACAGCAACAACAACAAAAACAACAACAACAACAACATCATCAACAACAACAACAACCACCACCACCACCACCACCACAACAACAATAATCTACATCGCGGAATTCCACTTCAGCCACGCACCCAAGGATAGTGAATCACCGTTCGGTTCAGCCCCTTCAGTCTGATACATATTTATATATGTATGTATGTATATATATATGTATGTATATGTATATGTATATGTATATGTATAGATATATATATGTACACAACGTTACTTATAAGGAATTCGACCGCCTTCAACGGCGAGCCTGGGCGCATTTTATCCTCGAGGTGTCTGGCTCAAAGGCCACGGTGCCGCTCATGCCACATTGCCCCCTGTCTTTCCGCGCCCCTCAGCTCGCCATTGCCCTCCCGTGCCGCCCCCCTTCCCTTTCCATTCCTCTCGGGCCTGCCTCGCCCCCTACATTCTTCCCTCTAACCCGCTGGGGCGACGACAGAAAACGGAATCGTCCTCGCCGACATTGGCGCGTAACTTGCCCGCGCAAGCTCGCGCGTAAACGCCATCGTTCCAAATGTAATGTGCCTCGTTGGCGGTCCGGGTGAACCGCCGCCGCGTCATCTCGCGTAATACCCGCGTCTGATCGTTGTTCATCTGCTCATCCCACATCCTCATTTCCTCCCACATTTATCCCGTCCTGCACACCTCCCTGCCCCCTCCCCCCCGGTCCCCGCCCTCTCCCCGTCACTCCTTTCTAGCCCTCCTGCGGGTGGTGCCCCTCGTCTTCTTGCCTTCTCTGACCTCCGACGCCATGATTTTTTCATGAGGTCGACCCCCAAATGTCTCCATCCATTCCCTGGGATCTGTTTATCATCCCGGGTCGTTTCTTGACGACTCCGAAGCCATGACTCGAGGGAGTCTGGGTCCAATTCTCGACGCTTCTACTGGGCGCCAATGCTCTATCGACGAGATGCCTCGGCGCGGTCCTGCTCCGACCCAAAAGGGCTTCCCTCCGAGAAGCCAGGATTTGTCCGCACCCACCAGTTTGGGAAGCGACCTCCAGTTGGGCAATGGGCGTTGACATCCCTGGGCTTCCCTGGGGCCCGAAGACGTCACACCCCCACACCGTAGCCCATTGAGTTGTTGGGAGGTCCCCAGAGATCCTATGTCTTGATTGTTTCAGCATCGTGGGTCGTTTTGTTAGCGGTCCCGGGGCCTGACGAGTGCGCGAAGATACCCAAAGCGGCGAAGCCAAACTCCGTCATGATTTTTGCTCGTGCCATGGATGCTTGGGCCCCAGGCTCCCGAAGGGGCGGCGCGAGTTCCGGGAGCCCCCAAGCTGTGTGGTGATCACACAGGTGACCACACAGTGTGTGGCCGCGTGGTGAGTCAGTGGGGGTTCGGGGTCACCGCGCGGTTTTTGGGGCTCTGGTCGTTCTCGGAGGACGCCTCGGGCAACCGAGGCCTCCATGGTCCCCCAACACCGTGCCGCGAGGCACCGCGCGGCGAGGTCCCTTAGCCTTCCGAGGTCAGCGCGGTCTGTCGCCACACGGGCTTGGGACACCCCCCCCCCAAGGTGTGGGCAACATCCAGGAGGAGGAGGAGGAGGAGGAGGAGGAGGAGGAGGAGGAGGAGGAGGAGGAGGAGGAGGGGGAGGGGGAGGGGGAGGGGGAGGGGGAGGAGGAGGGAGGAGGAGGAGGGGAGGAGGAGGACACACCTTGGGCAACATCCAGGCTTCGGGCCCCCCGCCTCGCCTGTCCGGCGCCGCTCCCCCCCCGCCCCAGGCGTTCGACGACACGCCCCACAGCGGCGCGAGCACGCCCGCCCACGGCCTGGAGAGGAGCGGCCTTGGAGGGGAGCATTATCGGGGCGAGGGGGAGGAGGATCAGGAGGGAAAAAAAAGCACAGACACAATTAATCGTCGATCCCCCGGAAAATATGGGAAAATATGGGAAGTGGGGGGGGAGACAAAAACCCAGAAAATATGGGGAAATATAGGGAATATTGTTATTAGTGTGTATTTAGTTGTGTGTCCTGGGGCCCCTTCAGAGGAGGGCGAGGAGCGGAGGACAAGCTGTGGGCGCCCGTGCCGTATCTGACATCTGGTCCTGAGTCGGGCCTGCCCCTCTACCGGAGGAGTACGTAGTCAAAGAAATGGTCAGGAAATAGTCTGGGGACCATTCTTGGAGCAGTCATGGGCACCTTTTTCTGAGCATCTGTTGACGATTTGTTATTTCTCCTTTGAAGTCCACCTGCAGGGGCACACGCCCGACTCAAAAACCTGGCCCCTGCCCACCCATCTGACCCAAGGTGCGCTGCTGTTGCCCGTGCCCGCCGGCGGGCGCCCCATGGCGGACCAGGGCCCCCCGAGCGGATCCTGCGGTCCACCCTGGCACCAGCCAGGACAGGGCTCGTTTCGATTCCTCCGATTCGATTCGATTCGATTTCGATGGCTTCCGATTCCGATTCGATTCGACTTGGGATTCCGATTTGGGTTCCGACTTCTCATTGGAGGCATATTAGCCTCCCGGTTTCTGCCGATTCGACTTTTTCCGACTCGGCTGCCGATTTCCGCCGATTCGATCCATCTCGATCGCCGATCCGACTTATCGATTCGATTTTGGTGTCTCCTGCCAGGAGGCAGGAGGATCGCTTCCCCAAGGGTTCCCTTGCCTGCTGGTCTCTTCGGTCATCTTCGGTCCTTAGGTCCACTCTCGACCACTTTCGGTGGTCGGCCCCGCTCGACGATCTGGACGCCCGAAACGGGTACGGAAAGGATGGGTACGATGCCCAACAGCAGTTCCTGTTCATTCTGACCAGGGCTCGCTGTCCGTCCCGCCTCGGCCTGTGTCCATTCGAGACGGGAGGCCGCCTGCCCAACAGCGGCCGCTGTCGGTTCGGGACAACACTTGCTGTTGGGAATTGTACCCATTCTTTCCGTACCCATTTCGGCGTCCAAAAAGAGGATCTTGCAGTCAATCCTGACACCAGTCAGGAGTCAGGAGGATCGGTTCCCCAAGGGTTCCCTTTGCATGCTGGCCTCTTCGGTCATCTTCGGTCCCTCGGTCCATTCTCGGCCCCTGTCGGTGGTCGGCCCCGCCCGAAGAGAGCCCCGGCCTGGCCTTCCAGTGCCCCTTGGTATCCTCACCGTGCAATCTCAGTATACGGGTTGACTGTATTGTACCATGCGCGACCACGAAAGTGTGGTTGCGTATGCTGGAGGAGGAGGTGGCCAGATGGATGTCCTGCTGCTGCTGCTGCTGCTGCGGCAAAGTCGGCCGCGGCGTCGTGTCGGCTGCCGCGGCCGCGGTGTCCGCGGCGGCAGCTATTTTGTTCGCGTGATGGTAAGGCGTGGGCTTCCCACGATATGAGGCCGCACAAACCGTTTACTCTCATTGGCCGGAGTTCTGCTCTTTCATAACATTGGACGCTGGGTGTATCTCCACCAGCCCACCCAGACACGCCGCCCAGACCAGTGGAATAAAAGGGCTGGGTAAGACGGCATACCCCAAGAGGGGGAGTATGGAGGAGGAATCGGAGGAGGCGCCTGAGGACGAGGAGGAGGAGGTGGAGGAGAAGGAGGAGGAGGAGGAGGATGAGAGAGAGGGGGAGAGGGAGAGGGCTGGTGGAGTTCTTCAACTCACACGCCAGCCGACAAGTGCTCGGGGGGTGAAGCTGTGCAACGCGGCGCACTGTAAGCTCCCGGCGTCTCCCTGCTTTTTCTGCGCTGCATTCGGTGTGAGAGGCAGGGTCGTAGGATGGCGCGGCCGCTGTGCTGCCACGGCTCGGCACGAACGGAATGGGTACGGTTGATGGCTGATGTGCAGGGCCGACAGGACCATTCCCAAGCTCTCCGAGCGTTTGATGGGTGAGCTCGTCCTGTCTCAAGCCCTCTTGCCTTGCCGCTGGTTCACGCCTGCGGAGCGGGGCTGTGGCGGCTACAGCTCAAGCAATTGCTGTACGGTCGTGTGTTCGCGCTGGGAAAACGAACGAGACGGGTACGGAAAGAATGGGGACGACGACCGGCAGCGTCCTTGTCCATTTTGAAGAGGATCTGCCGTTGATCCCGCCGCGGCCCTTGTTCATTTGAGACAGAGGGCCGCCTGCCCAACAGCGGCCGCTGTCGGTTATGGACAACATTCGTTGTTGGGTATCGTACCTATTCTCCTCGTACCCCTTTCGGGCGTAGAAGACAGCACATGAGAGAGGCTGCCTCGCGAAGGGTGGTGGCAGGGTGGATGCAGTGGGAGAGGGGGGGCAGGAGCACGAGGTGCCACAGGCGGGCATCGGGGCCGCCACGCCCGCCGCCGGAGGGCCCCCCACGGGGCAGCGCGAAGGGTGGGCGCCTGCCCCCCCCCGCCCCCCCCGCCCCCGCCCCCCCCCAGCGGGGCCCCGAGGGGCCCAGTTGCCCACCCCGCCCAGGAACGGTGTGCGGTGCCCCTATCGGCAACCTGTCGCCGACCCGTCGGCGAGGCATCCCCGCTTCCAGCTCGCTGTTCCCCCCCCCCCCCCCCGCGCCCCGTGGAGGTCCCCTATCCTTGCCCCCCTATCGTTGCCCCTTCCAGGTTGGGATCAGTCCGTTTCCAGTGGCTGTGGTCAGCCCCACGTAGTTCGCGAGCGGGCCGAAATGGTTGGAATCGGCCTTACTCCCGCCCCCCATCCCCCGCTCCCCCACGCTTTGCCCTCCTCCCACGTCACTCCCTGCCCTCCCTCGCCTCCCCCCTCCCTCTCCACTGCACCGTCTCTGGGGGGCAAGAACGCTATCAACGACGCGCCTCCGTGGGGAACGCATCAGCGTACCATTGCTGAAGCAATACTCGGTTGCCGCTGCCCCCTCCCCATGCCCCTGGGAGGAGCAACACGATGCAGAGCAGCTGCAGCACTTGGGCGCCGACCTCGTCCAGCGCGACCCCGGCGAGGGGGAGGGGGCCGCGTTTTCGGACGCCTTGTGCGCAGCACGGCGTGCAGAGATCGAGGAAGCGCAAGGATGGATGTAGACGCGTGGATTCATCGGGGGCCCCCACGCAGTGTGGTAACCACACCGTGTGGCCGTGTGGTGAGTCAGTGGGGATTCCGGCCGCACGGCTTTGTGGACTCGGGTCGTTCTCCGAGGATGTCGCTGGCGACCGCGGCCTCCAAGGTCAGAACACCGTGCGGTGACGATGAGGTCTCTTGGGATTTCGAGGTCACCGCACGGTTTGTCGTAATGTTTCGGACCCCCCAAGTCAGCGACGAGCCTTGTTTCCACAGACATTCGGCGCGTTTCGCCGCCAGATATGGCGGCATTGGTGGCCCTATGCCTCCTGGGCCACACTTCCCGATCCGTGGATCTGGCGCTCACGCGCCAGGTCCGCGGATTCCAAATCCATGTTAGCGTGCGCCCGAGATCGAAGAAGAACTGCATAAACATGAACTCTTCGCGGTCCGCGCGGAGCGCCGAAAGTTTCTGTTGATGCCGTTTTCCTCTCTCCGGAGAGCAGGAGCGACGACCAGAGCGAAAGGCTGCAGCAGTCAGACAGGGAACTCCTCTGTCTGTAGACCGCTGCTCGCGTTCACGCTTCCGGGCCGGCTTCGGCGAGCCCACAATGGGGTAAGGGGAGGAGGAGGAGGAGGAGGACACGAAGTAGTAGGCAATAGAAGCATGATCATTCGATTATAAGCAGTACTATTATTCCCCATATCCTAAGGATTGGGGTTCTTGTTATTACTCTGACGCCTCCCACTGCTCCTCCTTCCTCCCGCTCGCGCCTCCCTCCTCCCAATGATAATCACCAGATAAGACAAGACAAGATAAGATACTACAAGATAAGATAAGATAGCACAATATATGATAAGGTAAGATAAGATATATGACAAGGACTCGATAAGATAGGACTCGATAAGATAAGATGAGACTCACTCTCACTCAGACTCACTCACAGTCACATTCACTCACACTCACACTCTCTCATGATCACAAAACGCTGCCAGGGGCATCATTTGGGAGCCCCAAGGGGGAGCCACCCTGGCTGATCTCACGAGCCCGTTCGCGCCGATTTTGGTGGGACGTCTCAGCTAAAATTGCCGTTTGGCCTCCCCAACATGTCTCTCTTGAGAGCCTCATGGTCACAAAACGCTGCCAGGGGCATCATTTGGGAGCCCCAAGGGGGAGCCACCCTGGCTGATCTCACGAGCCCGTTCGCGCCGATTTTGGTGGGACGTCTCAGCTAAAATTGCCGTTTGGCCTCCCCAACATGTCTCTCTTGAGAGCCTCATGGTCACAAAACGCTGCCAGGGGCATCATTTGGGAGCCCCAAGGGGGAGCCACCCTGGCTGATCTCACGAGCCCGTTCGCGCCGATTTTGGTGGGACGTCTCAGCTAAAATTGCCGTTTGGCCTCCCCAACATGTCTCTCTTGAGAGCCTCATGGTCACAAAACGCTGCCAGGGGCATCATTTGGGAGCCCCAAGGGGGAGCCACCCTGGCTGATCTCACGAGCCCGTTCGCGCCGATTTTGGTGGGACGTCTCAGCTAAAATTGCCGTTTGGCCTCCCCAACATGTCTCTCTTGAGAACCTCATGGTCACAAAACGCTGCCAGGGGCATCATTTGGGAGCCCCAAGGGGGAGCCACCCTGGCTGATCTCACGAGCCCGTTCGCGCCGATTTTGGTGGGACGTCTCAGCTAAAATTGCCGTTTGGCCTCCCCAACATGTCTCTCTTGAGAGCCTCATGGTCACAAAACGCTGCCAGGGGCATCATTTGGGAGCCCCAAGGGGGAGCCACCCTGGCTGATCTCACGAGCCCGTTCGCGCCGATTTTGGTGGGACGCCTCAGCTAGAATTGCCGTTTGGCCTCCCCAACATGTATCTCTTGAGAGCCTCATGGTCGCAAAACGCTGCCAGGGGCATCATTTGGGAGCCCCAAGGGGGAGCCACCCTGGCTGATCTCACGAGCCCGTTCGCGCCGATTTTGGTGGGACGCCTCAGCTAGAATTGCCGTTTGGCGTCCCCAACATGTATCTCTTGAGAGCCTCATGGTCACAAAACGCTGCCAGGGGCATCATTTGGGAGCCCCAGGGGGGTCCACCAGGGGCTTCATAGTCACCAAACGCTGCCAGGGGCAGCATTTTGGCTTCCCAAAGAGGAGTCGACCCGGGCCTCCTAGTCGCCAGAGAGAGAGAGAGAGAGAGAGAGAGAGAGAGAGAGAGAGAGAGAGAGAGAGAGAGAGAGAGAGAGAGAGAGAGAGCGAGAGAGGAAGCGAGAGAGAGGAGAGGAGAGAGAGAGAGAGAAGAGAGAGAGAAGAAGGTGAGGAGAGAGGAGAGAGAGAGGAGAGGAGAGAGAGAGAGAGGGGAGAGGAGAGAGAGAGAGAGAGAGGGGGAGTTGAGAGAGGAGACAGGCGAGAGAAAGAGAGAAGAGAGAAGAGAGAGATAGAGAGAGAGAGAGAGAGAGAGAGAGAGAGAGAGAGAGAGAGAAGAGAGAAGAGAGAAGAGAGAGAGAGAGAGAGAGAGATAGAAGAGAGAGAGAGGAGAGAGAGAGAGAGAGAGAGAGAGAGAGAGAGAGAGAGAGAGAGATAGAGAGAGAGAGAAGAGAGAGAGAGAGAGAGAGAGAGAGAAGAGAAGCGAAGAGAAGAGAAGAGAGAGATAGAGAGAGAGAGAGAGAGCGAGAGACGAGAGAGAGAGAGCAGAGAGAGAGAGAGAGCGGGAGAGAGCGAGGGAGAGCGAGAGAGAGCGAGAGAGAGCGAGTGAGAGCGAGATAGAGAGAGAGAGAGAGAGAGAGAGCGAGAGAGAGCGACAGAGAGCGAGAGAGAGCAAGAGAGAGCGAGAGAGCGAAAGAGAGAGAGAGAGAAGAGAGAGAGAGAGAGCGAGGGAAGAGAGAGAGAGAGAGATAGAGAGAGAGAAGAGAGAGAGAGAGAGAGAGAGAAAGATAGAGAGAGAGAGAGAAGAGAAGAGAGAGAGAGAGAGCGAGAGAGAGAGAGAGAGGGAGAGTGAGAGAGAGAGGAGAGAGCAGAGAGAGAATAGAGAGAAGAGAGAGAGGAGAGAGAGAGAGAGAGAGAGGCAGAGATAGAGGCAGAGAGAGAGAGGCACAGAGAGAGAGGCAGAGAGAGAGAGAGAGGCAGAGAGACAGAGCAGAGAGAGAGGCAGAGAGAGAGAGAGAGGCAGGGAAAGAGAGGCAGAGACAGAGAGAGGGCAGAGAGAGAGAGAGACAGAGAGAGCAGAGAGAGCAGAGAGAGAGGCAGCTCAGTCACACTTAAATCCAGATTCGTCCTCACCGAGTCCCACCACCAAGGGAGCGCCAGCAAGGAGATGCACATATGGGGATCCCCACGCAGTGAATAATTATCATGTGGTTTCATTATTACCAGTCGTAGTACCAGTAGTAGTAGTAGTAGTAGTAGTAGTAGCAGTAGTAGAAGTTGAAGTAGTAGTAGTAGTAGTAGGAGTAGGAGTTGGAGTAGGAGTAGGAGTAGTAGTGGTAGTAGTCGTAGTCGTCGTCGTCGTAGTGGTAGCAGTATGCGTTATAGTGGTAGTGGTAGTGGTAGTAGAAATGATAAGTGGTAGTGGTAGTGGTTATGGTAGTGTAGTGGTGGTGGTAGTGGTAGTGGTAGTGGTAGTGGTAGTGGTAATGGTAGATGGTAGTGGTAGTGGTAGGAGTCGTAGTAGTAGTAGTAGTAGTCGTAGTCGTAGTCGTAAGTCGTAGTCGTAGTCCGTAGTGTAGTAGTTAGTAGTAGTTAGTAGTTAGTAGTAGTCGTACGTAGTAGTAGTAGTAGCACTTAGCAGTAGTAGCAGTAGTAGAAGTAGTAGTAGACAGTAGTAGTAGTAGTCGTAGTAGTAGTAGTAGTAGTAGTGAGTAGTCAGTAGTAGTACTAGTAGTAAGTGATTAGTAGTAGTAGTAGTAGTAGTAGTAGTAGTAAGAGAAAGTAGTGTATCAAGAATAGTATTCGGATTAGTAGTAGGGAGTAGTAAGTTAATAATAGCAGTGTAGTATAAGTAGAAGGGAGTAGCAGTAGTAGTAGGCCTATTACAAGTACTAGTTAGCAGGAGTAACCGTAGCCGTAGTATAGTTGGTAGATTAGTAGAGTAGTAGTAGTAGTAGTAGTAGTAGTAGTAGTAGTAGTAGTAGTAGTAGTAGTAGTAGCAGTAGTAGTAGTAGTAGTAGTAGTAGTAGCAGTAGTACTCGTAGTAGTTTCCGTGGTAGTAGTAGTAGTAGTAGTAGTCGAAGAAGTAGAAGTCGTCGTAGTAGTAGTCGTAGTAGTAGTAGTAGTCGTAGTAGTAGTAGTAGTGGTAGTAGTAGTAGTAGTAGTAGTAGTAGTAGTCGTAAGAGCCGAAGTCCTAGAACAAGTAGTAATAGTAGTAGTAGTAGTCGTAGTAGTAGTAGTAGTAGTAGTAGTAGTAGTAGTAGTAGTACTCGTTGTCAGAGTAGTAGTAGTAGTAGTAGTAGTAGTAGTCGTAGTAGTAGTAGTAGTAGTAGTATCAGTATCAGGAGCAGTAGTCTTCGTCGTAGTAGTCGTAGGCGTCGTAGTCATGGTAGCCGTAGTCGTGGTAGTAGTAGTCGGCGTCGCAGTTGCCGTGGTAGTAGTAGTAGCAGTAATAGTAGGAGTAGGGGTAGTAGTAGTAGTAGTAATCGTAGTAGTAGTAGTAGTAGTCGTAGTAGTAGTAGTAGTAGTATTAGTAGTCGTTGTAGTAGTATAGTAGTAGTAGTCGTTTAGTACTAGTAGTACTTAGTAGTAGTACTTAGTAGTGTAGTAGTATTAGTAGAGTAGTAAGTACTAGTAAGTAGTAGCATAGTAGGTAGTAAGTCGTAGTAGTTAGCAGCTCGTAGCTAGATAGTGGCAGTAGTAGTAGTAGTAGCCAGTAGTAGTAGTAGTAGTAGTAGTAGTAGTAGTAGTAGTAGTAGATTGTAGTAGTGACGTAGTAGTTCGTAGTAGTAGTAGCAGTTAGTAGTAGCAGGAAAGTCGTATTGGTCAGAGGAGTAGTAGCGTCGCCGTAGTAATAGTAGTAGTAGTAGTTAGTCGTAGTAGTTAGTGTAGTGGTCGTTAGTAGAGGTAGGTAGGTAGGTAGGAGGTTAGGTAGGTACGGAGTAGTAGTAGTCGTGAGTAGTAGTAGTAGTAGTCGTCGTGTAGTAGTATAGTAAAAGGGGGGGCCCAAAAAAAAGGGGGGCAGTAGAGTCGTAGTAGATAGTAGTAGGAGTAGTCGTAATAGCAGTAGTAGTAGTTAGTAGTAGTAATTAGTAGTAGAGTAGTAGTAGAGGTCGTCGTCGTCGTCGTCGTCGTCGTAGTCGTCGTCGTCGTCGTCGTAGTCGTAGTAGTATTAGTAGTAGTAGTAGTAGTAGTAGTAGTAGTAGTAGTAGTAGTATTCGTCGTCGTGGTCGTAGTTGTAGTCGTAGTAGTCGTGGTAATAGTAGTAGTACTAGTAGTAGTAGCAGCAGTCTAGTATAGTAGTAGTAGTAGTATCAGTAGCAGTAGCAGTAGCAGTAGCAGTAGCAGTAGTAGTAGTAGTAGTAGTAGTAGTAGTAGTAGTAGAAGTAGTAGTCGTAGTAGTAGTAGCCGTAGTAGTAGTAGTCGTAGTCGTAGTCGTAGTCGTAGTCGTAGTAGTAGTAGTAGTAGTAGTAGTAGTAGCAGTAGTAGTAGTAGTAGTAGTAGTAGTAGTCGTAGTCGTAGTCGTAGTAGTAGTAGTATTAGTAGTAGTAGTAGTAGTAGTAGTAGATAACGCCAGCGGCGCCCGGGCACGTACTGGTAGTGGGCCGTGACTTCTCGATTTCTCGTCTTTCTTTCTGTCCCCCTTATCTTCCTTTCCTCTCCTTCTCCTTCCTTTCCTTATGCCTTCCTCTTCTCCTTCTGCTTTTCAGCCCTTTGAGATTTTACAGGGCTTGTGCTGGACCCGAAAACGTAAATGTATTATCTGAGAAAGGGTTTTCATATGGTTTTTGGCTGAAGGTTGGCCCCCAGTAACGGACACCGAACCGATGGACTGCCGGGGGCGTCCGGGCACCCCGTGTTTGGTGATGATGACAGAGGTAGAGACGATGGCGGCACGACGAAAAGACTACAGGAATGATGACGATGATGGTGATGATGCCGCTGATGATGATGCTTTTGGATGACGATGCTGATGATGGTGATGAGGGAAGCGGTGACGAGGATGTGGATCGTGGGGATGAGGTTGTGTGCAAGGGCGACGACTGTTGAGCTGGAATGGCCCGAATGAGCCTTGTTCATAATAATGTAATCATATGCCGCTATTGCCGCCCGCCCCCCTTTCCCCGTGCAGCTACCCATGGGGGGACCAAGGGGAAAGGAGACCAGGACGGGGAAGGCTACGAGATTGGATGCAGGTTTTGTTTAATTCGGGCACCGTGGATTACTGTGACGGTTTAGGAAGACTAGGAAGGCAGGAGGAGGAGGAGGAGGTGGAGTAGAAAGAGGAGGGTGTATGGGGGGCGCAGATGCTCTCGCTGGCGCCGGCAGAGTTCGGCGAGTGGGAGTACGTGGTGATGGACCCCAAGGCTGGGGTGCTGGGATCGGGGGGGCGGGGGCGCGCGAGAGGGTCTGGATGAGGAGGAGGTGGTGGAGGTCGAGAGTAGGATCGAGGAAAAGGAGGATCGAGGATCGAGGCGGAGGAGGCGTAGGATTGAGGAGGGGGACGATCGAGGATCGAGGAGCCAGGTTTTGGACGTTGTCTGTCCCTTTTTGGAGTTTCCAGCGGCCTCGAGGTCTTGGGGAGGCACCCGCCGTGAAAGGAGCGACTCGGGGTGAAACGGCGGTCCCACGGACGCGGTCGAGAGGTCTGGGGCCCGGGGGTCAGAACACATTCGTGTCGTCGGAGGTCTGGGGAGGTTGGGTCCGAGAGGACGGGCGGTTAGGAGGAGGCAGCGCTGTTTCCCCTCTCCTCCCCATCTCCAGGCCTCCAAGATAGGGTCGGAGTAGATGGGGTCGGAGGATCGCGCCGCATCGCCGATGCATCGCCGATGCGGCTCGATGTGCAGCCCGATGTGCCTCAAGTCGACGTCGCCGATGCATCGCCGACGTCGGCGATGCGGCGCGATCCTCCGACCCCATCTACTCCGACCCCATCATCGCCCTCGTTATACTTCACATCGTTATCCATCTCCCCTTTCCCCACATCCTTTTCCTACTCCTCCTCGTCCTTCTGAGGATGGGGCTGCAAGGAGGTAGGAGGTGGTGGAAGAGATGAGGGTTGCGAGGACGCAGGGGGGGCGATGGCGCGCCGTAGAAACAGGGCAACACTGTAGAGGAGGAGAGGCTTCTGCTCGCTCGCTCGTCTAGTCTGGGCAAGCGTTCGGCAGCTCGCACCGGCAATATACAATTGAAGCCTGCTGAGAGATCAATTCGAAGGGCTTGCTTCGTGCTAGCCTAACTTGAATTCAGGGTGCCTCAAGTACTCAAGTCATCCTGACGTCAAGCGTGCGAGGACGTCTGCCCCCCCTTCGCCTCCAGACACCATGTCCAGGGGAACCTGCTCGATCCTGATGATTTTTGCGGGAGGCCAATTCGGGCTGTTATTTGCGACGCTTACTTCGAACCACGGTCGCCCCGTACCCTCTGGAACTGCTTGGTGTAACGTTGGGCCAGACATGTGCCAAGCTAGTGGATGCTGTGTTCTCCCAGCCGTGTTGGAAATCCTTGGGGGAACACGCTGATGGAAGCAGAGGGAGAGGAGGCGTGGTGGGAGAGGAAGGGCACGGAGGAGGAGAACAAGCAGGCCTCTCGGGGCCTGCTGGGAGCCCTTTTTCGGGGGGGTCTCTCGGGGGGCCTCCCGAGGGCCTCTTGGGGCCTGCTGGGAGCCTTTTTGGGAGGGTCTCTCGGTGGCGTCTCGAGGGCACCTCGGGGGCCTCTCGGGGCTTCCTCGGGGGGCCTCCTGGGCCAGCCTGCGGGCATGCCGGGCCGTCTCGGTGCCGTCTTGACGGCAGCCCTGCTCGGCTGCCCCGCCCGAAGGGCCTCCCCGGGATCGCACCTTCGCGGGATCGCGCCCCGGCACCCAGACCGCGAGGGCACGGAGTCCGTGATGGGTTCGTCGCTCATGCGGTCCCCATCCTCGGCCTTGCAAGCATATAGGAAGAGGATCAGGGGCGGAAAAGAGGGGGCTGATGACTAGGGGGGGGTGGATATCATGGCGTGGGCCATGATCTCTCCCCAGATTTCGTGGCGCCTCTTCTTATTTTATTACGTCCCTGGCCCCCCCGCTGGGCCGCGCACATGCCGCCGGTCATGATTTTCACCCCCCCCTCTTGGACACCCCCCTCTTGGCCGCTCCCGAGAGGAACACACACACACACACGTATGTATGTATGTTGTATGTATGTATGCATATGTATATATGTATACATATATATATAGATATATGTACAAGGCTGCATTGGCTCTTCGCGCCATGCACCTTGCTCCTTGAAGCTTTGGAGCGGTTGGCCTGTCGCGCCTTCCTGTTTTCCCTTTGAGGCATGCTCGCTCGCTCGTATCATGGAGAAGCGGGGGAAGGGGAGAAGGAGGCAGTCAACTTGGGACGGGCAAAGACTGTGAGTCGGAGACAACGGGCGTACGGAATGGCGTGAATGAAATGTGCTGAAGTCCTGGATGCGCAACATAATTTCCAGAAAAGTGGTTGCGATCCTGGGGTTGTGAGCAAATTGCGGCTTTCCGTAATGAAATACCATCTGAGCGGGCGAGAGCTCAGGAATCCACATGTGGGCCTTCCGAAGCGGTGTGAGGGCCTTGTGGCCCATCTCGGAGCCACCTCGGACTGTCCTCGGGGCGTCTTTGGACTGCCGCTCGCCCGTTTGCACGCTTGGGTGAACGTTGAGAAGGCGCCCTGAAAAGCTGGAATTCCTAGGTGGCCCTGTTGAGGTGCGTCCAGACGGTGTCCCCGGGCTGTCATGGAGCCGCCTACGGGCAGTTTGGGAGTCGTCTAGGGCCCTCATGGCACCTTCCTAAAGTGTGAGGATGCTGAGTTGGCTCGTGTTGGGGCCTCCCCTGGCCGTCAGGGCGCCGCCAATGGGCAGTTTGGGGGCCGTCCCGGGCCCTCGTGGAACCGCTTTGGGGATTCAGGAAGCGCGTTTGGGGTTAGTTGGAGCGATGTTCGGAGTTTTGACCATGTTTTCGGACGCCCGGCAGGCCGAAGGAACGAATGGTAGCGAATCTTACAACATCATTGACACATCAGTGTTTTTCGGGTTCGAGCGCGTCTCGGATGTACCTTTTCGGGTCGCTTCAGGGCATCCGACGAGGGCCAAGGCCAACTTATGCCATTTGGGATCGTCTTGGGTGTGTCTTGGGCCTTCCGTCGGCCGCCTTGGGGTCAGTTTGGTGCGGTCATGGGGCCGCTTGTGGGCAGTTCAGGAGCCATTTTGGGCCCCCGTACGGCTTTTCTGGAGTCGGGAAAGGTTTTCGGTGCCTCGCCTGCGTTCTCGGACGCCTGGCAAGCCGAATGAAGACATAGTCGAAAAGCATACAACAATTCACAGAAAAATCAGTTGTTCAGGGTTTCGAGCGCCTCTTGGAGGTGACATTAGAAGCGCCTTCGAGCATCCAGCAAGGGCCTGGACCGCATAATGCCATCTTGGACCTTTTGTGGCGTCTCTAAGGCCTTGCGCCAGCCGTCGTGGGGTCTGGGCGGTCATGGGGACTCTTGTGGGCAGTTCGGGGACCGCTTCGGGTGCTCATGGGGCTCATTTGGGCCGTCTAGGAGTGGTTGTCAGTGCGTTTCCAACATTCTCGGACGCGTGGAAGGCCCAATTAGCGAGTATCCGAAAATCATGCAAACACCAATGACACATCGATGTTTTCGGGGTTCGAACGCCTCTTTGGGGTGACATTGGGGTGATCTTCGGGCTTCCGGCAGGGGTCAAGGCTAGCTGGATACGATCTTGGACCGTCTTGTGTGGCTCTTGAGCTTTTCGCTGATCGATTTGGCACTGCCACCCGCCTGCGTGCACGCTTTGGCAAAGATTTCTGGTCTACCCCCGTGCCACGGATCCGGGGGGTCCCGTTTCGGGGGGGGGGGTCGCACCCCCCCCAGATTATCAACACATAGAAAGGGGAAGATATACTCTGCACCACATACACTGCACCACATGTATTGCACCACGTATGTATATTGCACCATGTATATAACACCACATACATCGACTGCACCACGTAGAGTACAATTGCACCACGTAGATTGCACCACATAGCATGCTAGAACATACTGTTTAGGGTCTACCACGGCAATCACTTCTCGTTCGTTTTTGGGCTCACGTTAATGTTCGCCCTCCTCGCCCTCCCTTGTCCTTTCCCTTGCCGCCCCCCCACCCCATGGGAGGGCATCACCCTGCGCGGCACGCCCTCGATCTCGCAGTCGTCCAAGCTGAAGGTCAGGGTCAGCGAGGGTGAGCTGGTGAAGGTGGGTGCCAGGGTCGTGCCGCCGTCGTCGTCGTCCCCCTCCGTCCTCCATCCTTCGTCGTCGTCTCCCTTGTCCACCTCCGCCTCGTTCTCCTCCTCGTTGTCCAGCTCGACGCCCTCGTCGTCGCTTTCCTCGTCGAATCGTCTCTGCCCGATTGGCAGTCGCTTATTCACACCCCTCGAAATGCGTTCCTTGCGCTTTGCATGGCAGTGGCCTCCAGCAACAATCCTAATAGTCCTCCTCTGCCTCGGGCTCCCCGTTTTCTTCCGCCTCCTCGTCCTTTGCTCTTCCCACTCCTCCTCCTCCTCCTCCTTCTCCTCCTCCTTCTCCTTCCTCCTCCCCAGGGAGGATGTGGATGATGATTAGGAGGAGGAGGGCGAGGAGGAGCAGGATGATCAGAGATCAGGAGTGAGGAGGGAGGGTGGATGACGGGATCTGGCAGTAGGGAGATAGTGAGTGCAGTTGAAGGAATCGTGAGAGAGGCGGTAGGAGTCGCAGCAGGAGGAGGACGAGGAGGACCACAGACATCTCGACCCACGGGCACACGACCGATGCTCTGATGCTCCGTGAGCCCTCTCCTCCCAGGCCCCCTTTCTCGAAAGGGTACACACGTCGGTCGGAAGAAGTAGGTACAAGCATGAAGTAGGAAGGCGGATTAAGTTGATTGGGTCCAGGCCCCCCCAGGGAATAACAACACACAGCAAAAGCGTGTCGATTCTTGAAGTAGAAAGGCGCTTAAAGTAGATTGGGATCTGGGAATCCACAAATACCTACTTTCAGCGACCGGCGTGTATGGGCATCTCCTCCACATCGAGAGCCTGCTGGAGGGGTACGCCTACCACAGGGTCGGGGCTCAAGAGGCTGGGGTCGATGCAAACGGGGGTCAGTCAGAGCGGCGGATCTTGCAGGATCTTGCACAGCCAGGGGTTTGTGTGCAGGCTCCTGCAGGATCCTGCAGGATCTTGCAGGATTCTGCACAGCCCGACTGATCCCGGTTTTGGATTGACCCGGGTCAGTGCGTCCCCGACAGGGTAAGGACCTAAGAGGGCTGGACCTGCGAGAGCCCGAGCGGCGCTGCGACGGGCTACGCGCGGAACCCGGAAGGCTGAGCTGACCATCGTGACTTTGTCGCCCTGAGATCCTGGCGTCGTAACATGTTCACAACGGGCGCTTTCGCTCGGTGGCGGAACGCCCGAGCATCACATATCGATTTGGCCAGCAGCGTGCAGCAGAGCGATGGGGTCTGGGTCTCGAGTCGTGACTTTTCACGGTGCTGATTTGTTCCGCGGCGTCGGATCCCAGGGCACATGACGCGACCCGTGGAGGACTGGAGAGGTGGGACGCCTCTTCGAGTGTGTAGATGTTGACGCTTCGCCCATCCCCACCAGGCCATTCATAAACGACGCCTAGACATAAGACAGACATTCAGACATTAAACGAAACCTCGCAAGCAGCCCTAGCAGGCCTTAGGGCCTTGGGGCCCTCCTGGAGCCATTTTGGTGAGTCGTGAAGTCCTCTTGGTGCTTTTTTGCGGGGTCTTGGGGCCCTCGTGGGGCTTTATTGGCAGTTTAGGATTACTGGATACCTGTTGGGACCATCTTGGAGGGCATCGATCAAAAGAAAGGGGTTGCCCAATTCAGGTCCCCCCTCAAACGCCCATCGGAAGAGAGAACGTGAGAAGGCGCAAAATATTTAGTCTTCTTTGGGCAATTGAAGAATTTGGGCGTATTGGGTGGGTCCTTGGGGGGGTCCGAGAGCACTTGGAACCGTCGTGTGACTATCTAGGGGCCTCGTGGGGGCATGCAGGAAGCTACCATGAACCATCGTTGGCTATCTTGAGTCGTCTTGGAGAGCACATTGGAGTATACGTGGGGCCCTCTTGGAGCCATCTTGGGCGACAAAGGACCCCTGACGCATCGCGAAGCCCGCCTACGCAAAACCCCGGGAGGGGGAGGCGGAGTGGGCCCTTTGCCGAAAGGAAGGAGGGTTGTGTGGCAGAGGGAGGGAGATGTCGCTGGTGGGATGCGGTGCGCCCCCGATCTCGGGGCAGGCAGGTGACCCCCTACACAGCAGTGCCCGGCAGCGCAAGACTCAAGGCATCGACAAGCTACATCACGCAACTGTTCCTGCAGTGGACGGGCAGCTGCTGGAGGAATTCGTTGTTTTTTTCGCCCGTGACAGCGAGCATGAGCAGGCGACGCCTGGAGATCAGCATGCCCTGTGGGACAACGTGAGGACTCTCCCGCGCTCAATGCCTTCTGTGAAGGCTAAGGCCAGCGACCGGCTTCGATGCCGCAGCATCGACAATTGCCTTTCGGGCATGCAGTTCACAGCGCCTCGCCTGCCCACCTGGAGCCCACTTACGACAGATGACCCCAAGGGCCTGGGCTCAGAAGGAGCCCTTCTTTATGTTTCCCGCCTGTCACAACGGATCGTGTTCCCCACTCCGCTTGCAGCCGAGCCATGCTTAATGGTTTTCCCGAACGCCTTCGCAGAGCCCAAAGCCCGAGAGGCTCGTCATGCATGTTTTACCCGTTCCAGGACGCCTCATCCGAAACCGTTCGGGCTCAAGCCTTTGCTGCAGCGAGCAGATGCATGATTTCCTGACGAGCGGCTGAGAGCCGCAGGGCAGCTACTGCACCCGCTGCCCAGAAAACTCTACTGCCCAGCGTCACGAGTGTGATGAGCATCGCGCGAGACCCCTGCCCGACGCTTCCATCGTCAACATCGAGACAAGCGTGTGATCAGGCGAGAGAAGAGAGTAGCATGCAGGGGGGGCATCCCCTGGCTGGAGAGGCCGCTCGCCGGGAGGGGGGGGCAGGTTCTCTGGGCGCGTTTTTTTATGATTTCCGAATCCCCTGTTGGACGACGCCCCGTGGTCGCCCGCGAAAAAAAAATGCCCGTCGTGATCTGGAGGTCATGATTTTGCCAGGGCGCGAGATGTCCCAGTCCCCTTCGCCCCAGCGACGAGACGGGCAGGACCGGTCGCCGCCCCCTGTCTTGCCCCCGCCCCGCGGTCCTCCCCCCCCTCCCCGCCGTCCTCTTTGTCTGGGTCCGAGAAACCAAACACGGCCTGCACTGAGCTACTTCCTTGGATGTCTGCGCGGGGTTGTTGCATCGGCGCTGGGCCCGCAGCGCGCTCCGCGCGCCGGGGGAGGGGGGTCCAACACCATCCGAGAAATCCGCGCGGACCCCCGAGAAGTGGTGTTCACACTGTTCTTCTGCTCCTCGGTGCTCCCTCGACCCTCGTCCCTCCTCCCCGCCTCCGCCCCCCCCCCCCCCCCCCGGAGGTGGTGGAGCGCCGGCCGGCGACCAACGCGACATTCCTGCGCCTGGAGAAGCCTGCGGAGCGCTCGCTCCGCCCTCTCCCCCCCCCCCGCGGCCCTCTCTCGAGCACGAGGCGGGGGGGAGGAGCTGCCGGCAGAGAGGCGGGAGGGGTCGATGGAGGGGGGGGGCAAGGGGGGGGGGGGGCGCTGGATGGGGGGGGGGGCAAGGTGCACTCCTCGTGCACGTGCCTTCGCCCCCCCCCCCCCCCACCATAATAGTCGGGGGGGGACAGACCTCCTGCCCTGACACGTCGATTAGCGCATTGGCCGTTTTCGGTTCGCGAGAGGGCGTCGCGGCCGTCATGTTTGCGGGTCCAGGTCCGTTGGTTTCGGTCCCAGGCCGTTTTCACTAAGAGGAGGTGTGCTAAAGGGAGGTTTGTCCACCGCCGAAGAGGGGGTCCCAAGTCCAGCTGCCCCAACCGAGCCCCGTCAGAACGGAAGGGGGCCGAATTGACAGATTGCCAGAGGCTTAAGGAGTCAGGCAGCGAGCCGACTGATGCACACGCAGGTGCAGCCCAGACCGCACCAAAACCCCATGAAGACGACATCGGGGCGGAAGGCGTCTGCGTGAAGCCGAAACTATTTCGAAAGAAGGGGTAGATTACGGGGGGATCGGACGGCCACTCTTGGGCTCGATCCCTCGAGCGAGCTCGACAGCGCATTGTAGCGCGCGTGGAATTCGCGTCGGGGGGCCAGGACAGGGGTCCTAGAGCTTCTTAAGGAACTTGCCAACGTGCATGGAACAGAGACTACACAGCTCGCAGATCCGCGGAGAGCCCCAGTGTACCATGCGATGCCCAGCACCCAAGGCAGGGGGCCCGAGAGATCTGGTGTGGAGTAGCGTCCTGAGCGATTCTTCTGTCATCGCCTCCTTAGGGGGCACGCACGGCAACGCACAGCATGGCCACCAGCTGCACAGATGTCGTGTGTGGTGAGCGAGCACTGCGGGACACCCCATCCTCTCTGCGGGCCAGGGTTTGGCAAGCTCGCCCGCGGCCTTGTACAGGCGCACCGCCCGCGGGGCGAGGCAGCTCACGCACCTCGCCTTGTCGACCGCCTCCTTCGGCACGCCAGCGTGGAGGCTGGTCACCACGTCGGCGACCCTGACCCCTGCGGCACCGCAGGAGGCAAAAAGGTCGGCCCACGCGTTGCCGAGCGAGTGGGCTGCGCTGCCGTTTCGAAGCACAACATCGCGCAAGTTCTTGTGATTTTGGATCCGTTTGCATCGAGTCCTCTCCACGTCGTCCTTACAGAGGGTGAACATCTTACTCCAGATACCTTCATATCGACTCCACCATTTGGTCAAGCTGCTGTCCCATTATCGTCTTTCGCCGGCGAAAGCGAGATCATCGGAAACGATGAGGCCTGGCCTGCTCATGATGTCCAGAGCTCTCAGGCCAGCATATCGTTCAGCACGAAGGACTGACTGGACACGTCCAGGGAGTCCGCCAAAAATCGTACGAACTGGCATGCCCGAGTACGAGTCGATGGGAGGGTCGGGAGGCGGAGGAGGAGGGTGAGGAGGAGGAGGAGGAGGATGAGGAGGAGGAGGATCAGCAGTACGAGGAGGGTCACGAGGAGGAGGAGGAGGAGGCCGAGAGCGACAGCGACAGGAGAAGGGTCAGTAGGATGAGGGTCAGGACGAGGAACTGGAGTTTCTGGAGGGGGAGGTGGGGGGTTCCTCTGCATCTGGTACTCCTCGCCTCGAAGTCTGCTGTCACCGGGGCGAGTTTCAGAAAGATCCCCCCTCACCCCTGCCCGACAGGCGCTGTGCGAGCGGGGGAGGGTTGTAGGCAGCGCTCCCTGGGATCATGTGCTTGCTTTACAGTTGGAGGAGGAGGAGGAGGAGCAGGAGGAGCAGGAGGAGGAGGAGGAGGAGGAGGGAGGAGGGAGGAGGAGGAGGAGGGGGAGGAGGGGGAGGAGGAGGAGGAGGAGGAGGAGGAGGAGGAGGAGGAGGAGGAGGAGAAGGAGGAGGAGGAGGAGGAGGAGGAGGATACCGACCCGCGCTGGACTGAGGACACCCTTCCCCCCGGGTGCTACTGCTGCATGGCCCTGCCTCTGTCCTCTCCCTTTCTTCCTGGTGCAGGAGGGGGAGGAGGAGGAGGAGGAGGAGGAGAGCCAGGACAGGGCAGCAGGAGGAGCAAGAGGGGGAGGCCGGCCTGGCCCGCACCTCCCTCGCCGTCCGCACACCTGGGCTCCGAAGTCTGTCGGCGTTTTTGCTGCCTCTGCAGCCTCGTTTCGGGCTCCGCGACCGTGCAGAGGAGGAAAGCATATCGATACCGCTGCTCGTCCTGGAGAGCCCCCGTCACCGCGGATGGATTCTCCTGGAGATTCTTGTCAGAGCGCACCCCGGGAGAGGCTCGTGGAGCAACGGTGTCGGTACGTTTTGTCCCCCCATGTTTTAGAGAAGAGGTCGAGAGGTTTGGAGCCCGGGGCTTTGAAGATGTAGAGTCGTCGGAGGTCTCACCACAGCGTATTTTAACAGCTCCATGGCAATACATGTATGACCCCGTTATTTGTTTTCCTTTGAAAAGGATCCTGATCCTCCTTCGCGTTATCGTTCTCCTCCGCTCCCATCCACTGCGGAGTACGCACATCCGCTGCAAATGTGATTCCCACTCTATTCGAGAGGCTCCAATGACGGATGACAAGGAGGATGAGTTGTAGCAGCAATATGTGTTCATCAGCACGAGATGTGTATGCCGATTGCGTTGTGAAGCGTCATTGATGTCGGTCGTTGTGTGCCATTGATGGCTCGCCTGCAGAATCACCTGTCCCCATTTTGCTCTTGCGCGCCCGCCCCTGGCATCGCCGCGCCCCACTTGGCATCAGTTCTGTAGGGGCGCTGTCGGCGCAGGGACCCCCGTGGCACAGGGGCGCAATCTTCTTTCTCTTCGTCTGGCTGATAAGGTCTGCTTTCGCCCCGGATTCAGACCCTTGGGCGTGACCCGAGGCTTCTGGAAGTCCTTGGAGGCATCCGGAGGTTGAAGCGAGAGCAAACAACCATCCGCACGTCTCTGGGGGGCGAAAAGAGGGTCAGAGACCTTCAGAACCATCCGAACGGTTGGAATTCCCCCTCCTTAGATCATCCAGGTGCGAGGACGTGGCTTGGCAAATCTCGGTGGTGTGGGCGGACGGAGGGAGCGCTGCCGCCCAGGGCTGGTCCGTCGACAGCCGGGACAGGCGAGTGCGGCTGAAGCAGGCGGGGCTGGCGTCGTCGGCACAGCAGTTTTTGGTCATTACAGGTTAAGTCGGGCCTGTCCCTCTACAGGAGGAACGTTGAAAATCGTAAAACAAATCGTCTGGGGATTTTTTTGCGTATATTTGAGCATTTCTGGTGTATTTCTTTAAACTATGTTTAATCTTCCCTCCAGGACCCCCCTGTAGGGGGACAGGCCCGACCTTACACTACGGCGATTTCGTCAGTTGTTGCTGTTGCTTGTGGGGGCGTTTGTGTGCAGGTTGTTCTGTTCTTCGCGGCTGGACGCGGCCCGCACGGCTGGCCAAGAGGGCCCCCCCCCCTGGCCTCGGGGCAGGTGGGCCGATGTTGCCCTCCCCGTCCCTCCCTGCTGTCTCTCAGGAAGGAAAAACCCCACATAGACACAATTAATCGTCGATCCCCTGGAAAATATGGGAAAATATGGGAAGTGGTGGGGAAGACACAAACCCAGAAAATATGGGGAATATTTTTATTTTTGTGTATTTATTTGTGTGTCCTGGGGCCCCTTCAGTCTCCCCCCTCCCACCTCCCGCCTCTCGACGACGACTGCAACGATGGCAAACACTGGGTACGGATTTCCGCAAACCGACGACAAGCAAGGGAGGAAAAAACACCCAGACCGGACAAGGGGCGTTAACTGAACGGCCCCAGGCGTTGATTAAACAGCCCTGCCCTGTTCGATTCCTTCTTTGGGCGCGTTTACCAAACGGCTTCGCGTGTCGGGGCGGTTGTTATCGGGCTGGATTCCCTGCCCTCTAGACAATGGGATGCATTGGGCGAGACATCTGTGATTTACCTTACCACAGCACGACACCACACCGACCTCCAGCTCTGACCGGGCCCCCGCCCGCACGCCGCGCCCTCGCGGGGCCGTCCCCCCGTCGGGGCGCACGCCGGCGCGTCGCCTCGCCTCGCCTCGCCTCCCGCTCATGCCATCCCCTTCTTTTTCCCTCGGGCCTTCTCCCCCTGCGCGCCTCCTCTTGGCGGGCCGGACGATAGGGGGGGATTGGGAAACGGGGGGGTTCCGAAATCTGCCGCATGCAGCTGGTTTCGGCCCCACCGAGGGGCCCATTCCTCGATACGTGGGCGCCTCTGGCGCCGGGAGGCGCCGGGAAAATCAGCTACGTGAGCTGATTCTCCCCCCCCCTTGCTATCCCCCCCTTTCGCGCGGCCCGATCTTGGCAGCAGTGCTAAGTATAAACATGTATGCGTACACATAACCCACTGTGAATATGCTCTCACTATCCAGTTGCGCTGCCGCGCAAATCCGCCACCCCGCCGGGGCGGGCACCTGGTTGCCCTGGGGGGGGCGCTGGATCGGGAGGTTCTATGGGACCTGCGACCTGGACTCTTGTATTTGGCACCAGGGGATGTTGAGGATGTTGTCAACAAGCTGACCGCGTGTCGGACGAGATGGACTGGGGGGGAGGTCATCACTGTTCCGCAAGTGGTGGAACGAACGACCTACTCATCAACCGTTTCCAGCGCGGCGGTGGATTATCATGATCGATGGGATTCTCATATTTTGTCGGACCTGCTTCTTCAGAGGTCGACGAATCCAGCATCCAGGCATCCCGCGCACTATCCGATCGCGCCGCCGCGCGTGTCCGCCACGGCGCTCGGGGAAGCGGCGCGGCTGGGCCGCAGCGAGCGGCGCGTGGTCTTCGCGCATTCCCCCACGGCGCCCACCTGCAGACTCCTGCGGGAGCTCGGCTCTCCCATGGGGGGGGCTCCGAGGGGTCGGCCGGGGGCCGCCCCATGTTGGCCGCCTTGGGGCTGCTTGTCAGACTCCCCACGGCCTCCCTGCTCTGCCTCGTGCACGAGGGGCGCTCGGCACCACCCGTGGCGCACGCCGGGAGCCGGGCGGCGCGCAATGGGGGGGGGGGCGGTGGCTGGGGGGGTGGGGCAAGGTGCACTCCTTGTGCACGTGCCTTCGCCCCCCCCCCCCCAACATAAGAATCGGGGGTGGACAGACCTCCCACCCTGACACGTCGATGAAGGAATTGGCCGTTTTCGGTTCGCGAGAGGGCGTCGCAGCCGTCATTTTTGCGGGTCCAGGTCCGTCGGTTTCGGTCCGAGGCCGTTTTCATTCAAGGGAGGTTTACCAAAGGGAGGCGGTGTCCACCGCCGAAAGAGAAGCAGCGCCCCGCGCGAGCAGAGCGCACCTGGGGCCTGGTGCCCGTTCGCGCCCTCGGACGGCGGCGTGTCTGCCCGTGCAGGTCTCGGGGCGAAGGCAGAAGGAGACAGGCTCCTTGGCATCCTTCGGACGTGTGCATTTTTTCCTCGGCGAGGACCATCGAGGAGCATCCTTGATGATTTCGCGAAAAAACGCGCACGAAACCGAACAAAAGCACAGGAAATGGACGTCCGAGCGATGGCCAGGCTCAGGGGAGGATGCGTCGGCCCGCCCTCGGCCACTCATCGCCGATGGGGGGCCCGACAGCCCATCCCGCCCAGGACCGTGCGGAGGGGCTATCGGAGGCTCATCGCCGATCCCTGGGCGATGCATCGGCGATTCCAGGTCGTTTTCCACCTTTCCCCCTGAGCCTGTCCCGCCCCCCACCCTATCGTTGCCCCTCGAGCGGAGGGGCGGGCGGAGCGATCGGGGCCACTTGCCAGGTTCCCGTTTCGAAGCTTGGCCTCCCTGCTCCCGGCCCCCCTCGCTGTCGCTCCCCCACGCTTTGTCCCTTCATCCCCCACTGCCATCCCTCCCCCCCCCTCCTCCGTTGCACCAGCTCTTGGGGAGCAAGGGCACTATCAGAAACTCGATTCCGTGGAGAACGCATCTGCGCATCACTGCTGAAGGAACCCCTGGTCTCCTTACGAAAGCGAAAATACACGTTGACGGGCTCGCAACGACAGCGTGTCGTTGACATTAGTTGTCCTTCCTGAGTCTCTATTTGCTCATCATGCTGTTCCTGCTCGTCATTGCCCTCGTCCCCCTTCTCCTTCATGTTCCTGATCCCTCGTGCATCCCCACATCCCTTCTTCTGATCCGTCGCTTCCTCCTCGGCCTCATCCTGGGAGCTTGTTGAGCATGCTCCACGATTTAACGTCAGCGCTGCCGAACCAGAGATCGATGACCCAAAGACTGGAGGCGGAAGCCGTCGCGATGTTGGGAAGGGGGGCCAGAGAAATCAGGATTGGTGGCCAGGGCGTCCAATTCTACTGACTAGCACTTGGTGGTTGGTGGCTGGAGCGTTCGAGCTAGAGGTATACATAATCCAAGCAAGTATTGGCCAAGTGACGCAAGGGTGTTCTTACGAAGACTACCGTTTCGGCAAGTGTGGGCTCCCTCGGATCTTGCATGGCCATCCGATTGACCTCTACTACATTTTTACGTTGTTGTTGCATCCACGTGTGTGATATCGCATGGAACTTCCAGCGTGAAGGGGACCATTTTAGAGTTCCCCATCGGACTTCTCATGCACCAAGCTGCACCACGCCGCGGTGCAGAGGTCGTGACCGAGAGCGGGCACTGGTTCTACCGCGTCTCCACACCGAACGGATCGCCCCGAGAGTTCACGATCTCTTTCTCCATCGTCCCCCGTCTGCTCCTGGTGCTCCTCTTCCCCATCTCCCGTGTGTCGCGCGACACGTCAGTCATGAGCGGCACGCGCGCATTACCGACGTGGTTCCCCGAGCTCATGGCAGACTTGTGCATGCAATGCCTGCTCTTGTGTGTGAGGGACCGGGGGTGTTTCCTGGCGATCACCACGAGGAAGCATGGGCCGAAACGCACGCCTACAGCACGAGCTCATTCGTCGTTCGAGTCAGCAGGCTCCCGGCCCTCCCCCACGACGTCGTGCTCTTCGGGCCGGCACCGCGGGCCTTGCCTGCGGCCGCCAGGGGGGGGGGGTCGTGGAGCTATACAGGGCCGCTTTTGGATGGCGCCTCTTACTTCAGGAGGGGAAAAAACACAGACACAATTAATTGTAATATGGGAAGTGGGGGGGAAGACAAAAAACAAGAAAGTATGGGACAAATTGTGGAATTCCTTATTTGTGTGTGTATTCATTTGTGTGTCCTTGGGCCCCTTGATTACTGCTTGAGCGATTCTGAGCCACCAGGGGGCCATCTCGTGGGCGTCCCTGGCGGAAGGCGTCTCGTGCGTGGGACGCGGCCCAAGGGAGGTCCGCACGGCTCCCGTAGGGGCTGCCACAGACATTCCAGGGCAACCGGGTGAGCGCCTTGGACGCGCACCAGCTGTGTTTCATGCCTGTTGCCTCTCGAGGTTTTTGTTGGGGGGGATGCTTTGGGGGTGTGGTCGTTTTCTTATCCATTGTTTCGCGGATCGGCGCGGGCCCTCGCAGGCCCCCCCTCCCCTCTTCTCGTGGAGTAATTGGATCTTGGCTTTTGTTCTGCACCTGTTTCAAGCAGGTGGAGCCTCCCCCGAAGAACGCACAGGTGCAAACAGTCGCGCTGAGCAGAGGTCCGGATCCAGACCCCCCCCCTCCTCCTCCTCCTCCTCCTCCTCTTCCTCCTCCTCCTCCTCCTCCTCCTCCTCCTCCTCCTCCTCCTCCTCCTCCTCCTCCTCCTCCTCCTCCTCCTCCTCCTCCTCCTCCTCCCCCTCCCCCTCCCCCTCCCCCTCCCCCCCGTTTCCGTCCAATGCCGAAGCGCCGAATCAGAGAACGCTCCCCCGTCTCCCTGGGAGGGTGCCTGGGCGTGGCGTGGACCTGCCACGAGTTGCTCTGCAGTGCCGGTGAGGTTCGTGGCTGCACGAGGGGGGCGCCGAGGTCGCCTGGGACGCGGGGTTCTGCAGTGACTTTTTCAGGAGGGAACAAAACACACAGACACAATTCATAGTCGATTCCCCAAAAAATATGGGAAAATATGGGAAGTGGGGGGGGGAAGACAAAAACCTAGAAAATATAGGGAAATATGGGGAATCCTTTTATTTGTGTGTATTTGTTTGTGTGTCCCAGGGCCCCTTCAGTTATGCAGTGACGCTTGGGGTCCTCTTGGCCTGGGGCTGCGGTGTCATCATCATGGGCGTGTCTTGGGCTGTCTCAGCGCCGTCGTCTGATGCCCCTCGGGATCGCAGGGGATCAGACAGAGAAGCGGCCAGCATACCACCTCCAGGTCTTCTGGAGGCCGTCTCGTGACCTCCAGGGTGGGAATTTCAGACAACTGACTACTTTCCAATGTTCTCGTGGACATGGATTGGGAGCTTTCGCCATTCTGCCGACCCCCAGGTGGGAAGAGGCGGACGATGAGGAGGAGGGAAACGGAGGAGGAAACCGATGAGAAGCGGACCTGTTTTGATCAACCGTCTTACTGCCAGGGGAACGAGGTCAGATGTGTGTGTGTGTGTGTGGGTGCATGTCAGGGCCGCATGGCATCTTCTGTGGACCCTTCGGTTCAGTTGGGGCACCTTGCATTCATTCGCACTGCTACTTTGCCTCCCTTGGGGAGTCTCGGAAACATACGTGAGAGACTTAACAGCCGCCTTGGGTGTAGAGACTTGGTCTTGGAGTCTTTCGTATACTTGGACCTCTGGACCGTTATTGGGGCCAGACGGGGGGCTTCTTTGGCCACATGAGGCCTCATCGGGTGCTTCGACGATCCTCTCGGATCCCTATGGGGCCCACCGCGGGGCCATCTTGTGACCCGAAGCGCTAAGCGCCAGACGTATACGATAACCCAGCGATGGCTGACGATGTTTGCCTTGACTCGTCTGAGCGGCCACCTTGGAGATATTCAGGATTTGTCGAGGCCACTCGGGGTCTAGCATGGAGCGCATCGTTGAACTGTCGGAAAGCTCTCTCGAAGGTCCTTGGGAGTGTTGGCGTTTCTGCGGGCCTTTCCGCTCCGTCTTGTCTCGTTTTGGGACCGTCGTTGTGGCTCCGTGGGATGACTTCGGCGATGCCCCAGCTCCCTCTCGGATCTTCAGCCTCCCCGCTTCGCGCAGAGACCAGACGTAGGGGCTGTGTCAAGCTCTTGTGTCCCTTGCTTTGGAAACACGCGTTCGATGTTTGAACCGCCGTTTGGCCGGCTGTGTTGACTCCAAAGTATCTGACTTGTGTTGTTGTGAGTTTAACCCGTTTTCTCTCGGCCGGGAGTGTCCGGCTATTTGAACCGCCAGTTCGTTGCACTCGATCACATATGTGACATGCCTGTCCGTCTTTCAACCCCTCAGCTTTGTTCTCAGCCCCCCAACAATCGCACTGAACAACAACTGACCACCTGGGTCGGCGAGCTTGCCGACGCTTCTCGGTCGGACCCTCTGTCCCTCGCCAGTGGGCTGCATGCGCGGAGGGCCAGAGTCCTGGCTGGCAGCCGTACCGTCCTTGAGCAGGCATATCGACCTGGTATCAATGCACCGTGCTTCAGAGGAGGAAAAGATACCCATACCCCTGCCCTTGTTTTCGTTTTGTTGGGCCTCCTCGGAGGCCCTCGTCGACACCGCTGCGCTGGATTCGCCTCTAAGTTCTGGTCATAACACACACGCGCGCACACTTTTTGCGTCGGCGGCTGGGCAGAGGGCGACTTCTCCGGCGGATTGGCAACAGGGGACACACACATACACACACACACGCGCACGCGCACGCGTGGACACGCAAACGCACACGCACGCACACACACACACACATCCACACACACAAGCACACACACAGACACAGAAACACACACAAACACTCACACACACCACACACACCACACACACCACACACACACACCACACACACACCACACACCACACACACACACCACACACACCACACACACCACACACACCACACACACCACACACAAACAACACACACCACACACACCACACTCACCACACACACCACACACACGCGCACACACACACACCCACACGCACACGCCCACACACACACACACACGCCCACGCCCACACACGCTCACGCACACGCACACGCACACGCAAACGCACACGCACACGCACACGCACACGCACACGCACACGCACACGCACACGCACACGCACACGCACACGCACACGCACACGCACACGCACACGCACACGCACACGCACACGCACACGCACACGCACACGCACACGCACACGCACACGCACACGCACACGCACACGCACACGCACACGCACACGCACACGCACGCACACGCACACGCACACGCACACGCACACGCACACGCACACGCACACGCACACGCACACGCACACGCACACGCACACGCACACGCACACGCCACGCACACGCGCGCACGCGCACGCGCACGCGCACGCGCACGCGCACGCGCACGCGCACGCGCACGCGCACGCGCACGCGCACGCGCACGCGCACGCACGCACACGCACACGCGCACACGCACACGCACGCACACGCACACACGCCGCGCACGCCGCACACGCGCACACGCCGCACACGCCGCACACGCCGCACACGCCGCACACGCCGCACACGCCGCACACGCCGCCGCACACGCCGCACACGCCGCGCACGCGCGCACGCCGCACGCACGCCGCGCGCACGCCGCGCACGCCGCGCACGCCGCGCACGCCGCGCACGCCGCGCACGCCGCGCACGCCGCACACGCCGCACACGCGCACGCGCACGCGCACGCGCACGCGCACGCGCACGCGCGCACGCACGCACGCACGCACGCACGCACACACACACACACACGCACGTACGCACACACACACACACATTCACACCAAGGCACACCACACCAAGGCACACCACACCACACCACAGTTCAACACAACACAACACAACACAACACATCACAACACACCGCAACACAACACAACACAACACAACACAGCACAGCACAACACGACACAACACAGCACATGACAACACCACACAACATAACAACACATAACACAACACAGCACAGCACAGCACAATACATCACGACACAGCACAGCACAACACAACACAAACCACTACAACACAACACAACGCAACGCAACACAACACAACACAACACAACAATCCACACCCACACCCACACCCACACACACACACCCACACACCCACACACCCACACACCCACAACCCCACACACCCACACCTACACCCACACAACCACACACACACACACCCACACAACCAGAAACGCACACACACACTTCCACACACACGCACACACACCCACCCCCAACACCCCCACACCCCCACACACCCACACCCCAACACCCCCACACCCTCACACCCTCACACCCCCACACACCCCCACCCCCACGCGCACGCGCACGCGCACGCGCACGCGCACGCGCGCGCACACGCGCACGCGCAAGCGCAGGCGCAGGCGAAGGCGCAGGCGCAGGCGCAGGCGCAGGGCCAGGGCCAGGGGCAGGGGCAGGGGCAGGGGCAGACGCATGGCCAGGCAGGTAGGCAGGCAGGCAAAGGGCCAGGCAGGCAGGCAGGCAGGCAGGCAGGCAGGCAGGCAGACAGAGATAGACAGACAGACATACACACACACACACACACACACGCCAATACACGTGCATACACACAAAGACGCGCACACACACACACACACACACACACGCACATCTTTGAGACGAGCGGGGACAGGCGCGACGCGCAGCCGCAGGCGCCTGGCGAAGCCTGGGTCAGTCCGGAGCTTTCGGGAGCTCCACGAGGCGCTGCGCCGCGATGCTTGCGCAGTGTGCCCCGCTGCCCCCAGCGAAGCGCAATCACCGAGAAGGAGCGTCGCTTGCCCGCGCGCGGGCAACGGTTCCTTCACCCTGGGCATGCACTCCCGAGCAGCTGTGCCTGCGTTGCGGCATTGGCGCCGCACTGGAGACAGATGACCAGATGGGGCCCCTGCGCCGCGGCGCACGCTTCTTCAGTCGCGCAGCCGCCGGCGGGCGGTGGGCGGCGACGCCGACAGGGCAGCCTGCTGCGTGGCCGCGAGCACGCGCTGCGCGGCCTCCAGGTGCTCGAGCCCCCGGCGGCGCGCTGTCACAGCTGCAAGTGGCGGGGCCCGCGGCGCGGCGGCTGCCCCATCGTTGCCGTCGGCTGCTGCATTGCCGAGGCGGTCCCGCTCGCTCAGCTGGCGCACATACCTAACCTACACAAACACACAAACACACGCACGCGCACACTCAGACATACACACACACACCCGCACGCACACACATACACACACACGCACACCCGCACACACAGACACACACACACACACACACACACACGCACGCGCACGCACGCACACACGCGTGCGCGCGTGCACGCACGCACTCAAGTACGCACGCACGCACACACACACAATCACACAATCACACACACACATGCGCGAACACGTACACACACGAACACACACACACACACGAACACTCTCAGACAAACACACGCGCAGGCACGCACACACTTTGTCGTCGCGGCCGGGCGCGCAGCGACAGGGTTTAGAAATATTCAAGAATCCGGCGCGCACTCGCGTCGAATCGCCGAGACCTTATCCCGCTTGGAATGCATACGCGCACACACAAACACGCACACACACACACACACACGAAGCCGCACCTAGACGGCGCACACATACCAACAAACACACACTCACCAAAGACGCCGCCAGACTAGAATTTGGAATTTGTCCCCCCTTCCTCTTCTTTTCCTCCCCCACCTTTCTCTTCTCTCTCTGACCGCCTCTCTCTGCTGCTTGGGGCTTGACTTCGCTGGGTGAACACACCCAGACCCCCGACGCCATGAGTTGTTAATCGCGTCGATCCCAGGGGCCTCGACCCTTTCCCTGGGACCGATCTTTCCTCCTGGGCAGCTGTTTGTCGATCCCGAGGCCCAGTAAAGGGCACCCAGAGGCCGGAAATAGCCAAACACCTCCCGTCGTGTTTTGTGCATGACTGGGGGGGGCCTGGGAAGGGGGGCCCCGCCCAGAGGAATCGCGCTGCGGTCCGGCTGCTGCTTCTCCGATGGCAGCAAGATCGGCGCGGGCCCGCGGGAGGGGGCGCTCCTGGTGGCCGAGCAGCGCGTGCAGGCCTCCTGCGCGCGCGCGCGTGGTGCTCCGATGGCCTGGAGGCACTCGGTTCTCGTGGACCTGGCCTTCCACGGGTCGAGAGCGCTACGCGCCGGTCGTTGAAAGCAGGTACGTTTGGACTCCCAGATCCCAATCTACTTCAAGTGCCTCCCTGCGTCAAACAATTATGATTTTGCTGTGCTCTGTTGCTCTGGGCCCGAACCCAATTTATTTGATCCGCCTTCCTGCTTCGTATGTGTACCTACTTCTTCCGACCGACGTGTACCCATCGGCCGTTGAAAGCTAGAATCCGGCGGTGAGCGAGGGGGGGAAGTGAGACGCAGGAGACCTTTTCAGAAGGCGGCGGGGCGTCTCAGAAGCCCTTCGGCCTTCTGAGAAGTTCTGTGCGTCTTTGGGGAAGGCTCTGGACACTCCTCAGAAGGCCAGAGGCCTTCCGAGCCTTCTGAGAAGGCCCGCTCCTTCTCGCTTCCCCTCTGGGCTGGCCGCCGAGGTATGTGTAGCTCCCCCGAGCCCAGTCTACTTCAAGCGCCTTCCTACCTCAAGGATCGTTTTGTTGCTGTCTTTTGCAGTTCTGTGGGCGGGCTCGAACGAGAAGGAGGAGGAGGAGGGTGAGGAGGAGGGGAGGCAGAGGAGGAGGAGGACGAGGAGGAAGAGGAGGAGGAGGAGGACGAGGAGGAGGAGGACGACGAGGAAGAGGAGGAGGAGGAGGAGGAGGAGGAGGAGGAGGAGGAGGGCATATCCGCTTTTTCTGCCTTCCTACTTCCTGCTTCTACCTGCTTCTTCCGACAGGCGGGTGGGCGGGGATGCCAAACGGCCAATTTGCACCAAGACGCGGGTAAGGGAGACCGCGGCGGGCGGCACTCAGCACAGTGCGATCTTGTCTGGGCTGCTGGTGCAGCGGCCCAGGCTGGGAGTGGAGTCTTGCGGAGGGCCGGGAGACACCCTGGGCCTCCTGGGAAGCCCTCGTCGCCTCAAAATGGTAGTCAGAACGCGCCCCTGAAGAGGTCCGGGGAGTTGCGGCAACGGTACTCGGCAACGGTACGTATTCGATCCCCCAGAGTTCCACCAAGCAAGACAGTGTCCGCTCAAACAACATTAGGAAACTCGGGGATGCGCCCCCCGGAGGGCTATTCGGATGCCCCCCCCTCATCGCGGATGGACGCCCCCCTCGTCGTATATCCCCCAGTCTGGCCTCTATCTTGTCTGTCCGGTCATAAGCGCCACAAAGTCGGGGATCGGGGTCGCCAGAGCCCACGTCTCTGCAGTTCGCACCTCATCTGGGACAACAACGCCACACGGAATCACGCATCGACGACAGCGATGACCACGACGACATCGCCGCCGCCGTCGCTTCGGTGGTTTAGCTGGCGCGCTCTGGGGCCCTTGTCGCAACGGCCGGGAGCCCTTGGAGCCTGGACCCCATGCATTCGCTGCAATCTTCGAGCCGTGCCGATCTCTGATGGCTTTTGGGGCTCGACGCCTGGCGAGCACGGCCGGCGTGAAGAACCAGGTGCAGCGCTGGGATCTCAGGGCGGAGTGCTCTGCCATCATCTACGCTCGCAATCGTCAAGAGTAGCCCCCAAGTCGGCGGGGGCCACGAGCGTCGTCGCGATCTGATTGGCGGGTGGGTTCCTCTTCTCACTGCAGGTGCGCGGGCGCGGCTGTTTCCCATCGGTGGGAGGTTCTTCCTCGGCCCCCCTTTTTCTTCCTCCCTCGTCCGGCGCCGCCGCCTCCGGGGGTCGTGGGAGCCTCCTCCTCGCGTCTCCTTGGAGTCGGGCCCGGTCCGTCCTGCCTCTCTCTGCTCCCCCCCCCTGCCAGGTGCGAAACCTCTAGCAGGGGGGTCGCAGCCTTGCAGAAACCTCTTAGCACGGGGGTCGTAGCCCAGCAGAACCCTTTAGCTGGGGGGCCACAGCCCGGCGAAGTGGCACCTCTTGACGACTGCGTGAGCGAGGTGCGCTCGTGGTGGCCAGCGTTCGGCCAGCGCGAGGACTCGCGTCCTTCGGGGCGCATGCCTGGTGATCGCGAGGTCTACTCCAGATTTCGTAATAAATCTTCCCTCCTCCTTTGTCCCTCCTCCTTTGTCCTTCCCTCCTCCTTTGTCCTTCCTTTCCGCGTCGTCTCTTCTCTCCCTCCTCCTTTGTCCTTCCTTTCCGCGTCGTCTCGCGCCCGGGGGGGGGCGGCGGCGCTTTCGGCGCCCCCGCCCCCGCTCAGGGCAGGCGAGCCCTGGGGGCCCCAATCGTCGAGCTCGCTGCGTCTGCGTTGTTCCCGCTAATCGGCCCGCGCGTGTGGCGCATGCCATTTCTCGATTGGAATGCGCCCCTCGGGTCGAACGGGAAGAGTTCCGCCTCCCCAAAGGTGCACGTCGACACCTTCCTCCTCTCATGCATTCTCACAGTGTTGCCATATGTTTCGGTCGTTGTCGGCAGGTGCACATCCTGTTTGTCTCCTACATAAATTGATGCTGGCGGTCCCCCTTTCACGCAGGCGCACGTCGCGACGTTTCTCTGCGACCGCCTATCTATGATTGCCTTTTGTGTGATGTTGCTTCTTTCTTTCGCCCTGCCAAGTCCTGTCGGCGCTCCGACTTGGGCGCCCTCTGGGCAGTTGGGCCTTCAGGGCGCCTGTCGTCGAGCTCCCAGCTTTTGCGTGCTTCCGCTGCGCGCGTCCGCGCGTCGCGAGGGGGTGGGCGGGGCGCGCGATAGCGCGGGCCTGGCCCGTGGCAGCGCTTGCGTAGCAATGCCTGTCACCTCGCTGCGCACCGCCCTTCCAACGCGCGCGTCCCTGTGGGGCTTCCCGGCTCACAGCGCGGGCGCTGTCCTTCAGGCGGCGGGCATTTGCGGATGGGTTCCCTGGTGCGATCACATTTCTCCCAGATGGTGCCTCGGCGCCCCCGGGCGCGTGGAGCCCTGGCCCTCGCGAGGCCCCTGCGTTTCGGGGCCCGCGGGGAGGCGGGGGAGGGGGGCAATTTTCCCGCCCCGAGGGTGGAAGATGCGCGACGCCAGTCGGCGGGGAGAGGCGAGCGGAAAAATGGGGGGGCAGGTTGCGTTGCTCCTCGTCTGCCCTTCCTGCTTCTCCTCGTCATCCTCCTTGCTTCCTCCCCCATTTCTGTTAAGTCTCCCGCCGCCGCGTCGTCCTCGTCCTTCTCGGCGTCCTCGATTCCTCCCCCTTGCTCCTGCGGCCTGCCTGTCTGCCTGCCTCTTCACTCCTCGTGTTCCTCTGCCTCGCCCTGCTCGTCCTTCTCGCCATCGCTCTTGATTCCTCCCTCATCCTGCTCCTCCGCTCCCGCCCCCGGCCTCGGCCTCGGGGTGGGGGGGGGGGCAGGCGGCGTGGGATTGAGACGCCGCGCGCGCGGAGGGCGCCACGCCGCCCGCGCCGCTGGCGACGGGGATGCCGGCCTCTGCACGGCCAGAGCCGCGGTGCGCGCCGCGCGCGCGCGGGCCGCGGCGACACCGCCGTTCCGCGAGCGGCAGCAGGCCGGCGCCGTCGCCCCCCCCCCCCGCCGCGGCGCTCCGTCGCTGCACTCCCCGCTCGCGCACGACCCACCCCACTCCCATTATTCGACGACGCCTGACCACGGCCCCGACCCCGAGACGCGCTTCGGCGGGGGGGGTGATGCTACGGCTGGTAGAGCAGGTAACTTATGATGCGGTTTTGTCTTAATCGATTGACAGGCTGATTGAGGTTCTAAAATACCTCGAGCTACCAGTTCATGGTAGCGCACGCTGGTTTCTAGGGCTCTCACTGGACGATCATTCCCACGTGTTTGGGCAATTCGCGTTCGAATGGCCCCTTCGGTGCAGAGCCCGCCAGGTATTACCCCCCTCCAGCATCACCGTGTCGTCCAATAGCTCCGCCATAGTATAGTGTCCTGGATCCTCTCCCCCGTGAGGAACTGCATGTAAAGAGTTCATTTCGAAACTGGATTCTCCTCCTGACGGCGCACCTTCACCCGCAAGGGGCCGTAAACGCGGCCGGTATCCCTCCACTGGAGCTTCGAGCAGTGTTCCTCCCATCGCTGGGTCCGACCCCTCTGGGACACCCTTCGTGCACCCGCAGCTGACGGCTGCCATGAGTATGCGCACGTGCTGGGCGGGGGCCGGCACTGGGAGTTTAGCGGGAGAAGGAGGACGAGGAGGATGATCCCTTGCTTCTTGTCCTTTTCGCATGCGCCATCCAGGTTGACGACACAGCTTTCCTGAAGCTCAAGGACACCGCCCGCCGCCCCCGTCCCTCCTGCCTTTGCTCCACCTGCCTCGGCCCACTCCTCAGTCCCCAATCTCCACCTCACGCCTCTGCTCCCTTTTGATCATCTTCCTCGAGTCCCCTCCCTCTCTACCTCAGCGCCCCGCTCTCCCCCCTTGCTCCCCCCGCTCTTCCCACTCTTCCCCGCCTCCCGGTGTCTCTCCCGTCCCTCCTTCTTTCCCTCCCTTTATCCTCCTCCCTCTCCCCTTTTTGGCCTCCCTCCTACGGCTCTGGTAGTCCGCATTATTGTTCGATCTTCTTCCGCTCTCTCTCTCTCTCTCTATTTCTCTCGCTCTCTCTCTCTCTCTCTTCCTTTTTACTCTCTCTCTCTCGCTCTCACTCTCTCTCTCTCTCATTGTTGCTTGTTATCTGCTTATGTTCTCTCTCTCTTTTTCTCTCTCTCTCTTTGTTGCTTTTTTGGTACCTCTCTTTCTCTCATGTTCTCCTCCATATATGTTATTGTTTTTCTCTCTCTCTCTCTCTCTCTCTCTCTTTGTCTTTCTGCTTCCCTCTTTCCCTCTCTCCCGCCTTCCTCGCCCGTCCTTTATCCTGCACCCCTTTCCTCGATACCTCCTCCGTACCCCCATCCCGCGGGCCCCCTCTGCTGCTCTTCCTCCCTTCCATTACCCCTCCCGCCTCGCTCCTTTTATTCTGCCGCTATCACATGCGGTGCTGATCCCGAACGTTTAGCTCGTCGCTCGGCGTTGGGCTGGTCGAGGGCTAGTGGGCGAGCCGTCTTGTGATTGCGCCCAGCCGCGTATTTGGATGAATGTTCTCTCGGCGACTCGGAACGCTTGTTTAGATGCTTGCTTTTAATGCCCCAGGAAGGCACTCCAAGCCTGCGCAGCTCCACCCCAAGTCGTCGACTGCAGCATCTCACGTCTCTCAAAAGCGTCGGTCCTTTCTTGCCGCGACCAGTATCTGGCGGCGGCGCTGAACAGGAAGGGGGGCAGGGAGGGACAGGGCGGGGCCAGCCCCGTCTCGGCATGACGGCCCGGTCGCCGGGAAAAGTCCCGCGGGGTCCGGGGCCGGTGTCCTTCGGAGTTCCTGGTCCCTCACAGCAGGCAATACACTCCCGCCCCCGCCCCCCTACAGGCCGACCGCTCGGTCTTCCTGGGCTGGCGGCCCGATCTCTGATGGGCCAGGGAGCGTTGACGTCGCAGCGCGACAGAGAGAGAGTCCGCACGCGCGGTCAGCAAGCTGGGAGACGGCAGTGCGAATTGCCCGGAGGGAAGTTCTTCGCCCTGACGGGCAGGGGTCCTCAGGGAGGGGTCACCACCCACCAAGCCACCCCAACCACACGCGACTCGCGGCGAGAGGCAGGGGCGGGATGGGCGGGGTTTGAACCCGCCGCTCGCCTCCATCCCTCCTTCCCTCCATCCTTCTCGTCCTCCCATTCCTCCTCCTCCTCCTCCTCCTCCTCCTCGTCCTCCACGACACCGTCCCGAGGCGAGGATGCGCCCAAGAGCCGCCAAACAGCGCCCGATCGCCGACAGCCGAAGGCCGAGGCAACAGTCACACCTTTTCGAGGTCTCGGCCCTCCCCTCCGCGGTGGCCAGTGGCACCCCTCGAGGCGGCTGGCGGGGGGCCGAGGCGACTTCCGATCGCTGCTGCCCCTCCAGCAGCAGACCCCGTCCAGACCTCCTCGAGCCATGACGAGGCCTCTTGGGGGGGCCCCTACCGGGCCTCGGGAGCAGTCAGGGAGCGACGCGGGACGACACGCTGGCCCGGGGGAATGGGTCGAGGTTTTTGGGTGGGAGGGCGCGTAATGGGAGGGAGGGGGGGCGATGAATGGAAGAGCAGCGAGGGCTTCCGAAGAGCAGCCCTTTAGGGCCCCTGGGGGGGACTTGTTGGGGCCCCGGAGAGCGCTGTTTGGGGCCCGAACAGGGCAACTGCCTTTCCTTCCCCCCAGCGGGGTCAGCGCAGTGGAGCCATACGCGGATTTGTCGGAGCATTTGTAAGATTCGAGGGAGCAGCAATTCCTGTGGAATAGCAAGCTTTGCCAAAGAAGGGGGCGCAAACCCCGTGATTACATTTGGGCGTTTGGGATTGCTTGTGCGAGAATCCCATACACCCTCCAGAGCAGCTATGCATCCCAGAAGCTCCTCCCCCCCACTGATCGCCCCCCCGGCATTCGCGCCCAAGAGGCTTCTGGGGCCCGAGGCTACGAACAGGCAGCATGACGCCGGGGGTCTGGTCTGGGCGCCCCCCGTGCCCGAGGACAGCGCGGGCTGGGTGTTCGACCAGAAGAGCAACAGGAGGGTGCTGGAGGGCCCGCTGAGCCTGCAGGAGCCCTGCCGCCCAGACCCCCCCCTCGGGCAAGGAGGAGGAGGAGGAGGACGAGGAGAAGGACGAGGAGGAGGAGGAGGAGGAGGAGGAGGAGGAGGAGGAGGAGGAGGAGGAGGAGAATAGGAATCACCGGACAGCTCGCCCCTTGGCCCCCCGCCAGCCCCACGCCAAGGGGCGAGCATATATACGGGCGCAGCACCTCGCTGGAGGCGTAGCCGTCGGCTGGGCCGACCATGCAGATGATGCATCGCGTGGCGGCTGGATGCCCGCGCCGAGCACAGAGCTCTTCTCGGTTCCTCCCTCCTCTTCCTCCTCCTCCTCCTCTTCCACCTCCTCCTCCTCCTCCTACGACTCCTCCACTTCCACCTCCTCCTCCCTTCTGCCGCCTCCTCATCCCGTCCGCGTCCTCCGCCCTCGAGCTGATCTCCCCCCCCCCGTCGTCCATTTTCAATGAAATCCTCCTCCCGCCGCCTCTTGCCTTGTCCTCCGCCTCCTTCCTCCTCGTCGGCCTCCTCGTCCAGCGCCTTCCTCTTCCCCTTGCCACTCTCCTTGCGAGCACCCTTTCCACGATCTCCGTGCCCTCCTTCCACCCCTCCTCCTCCCTCGTCCTCCTTCCATCGCCTCATCCCCGCCGTCATAATCCTCATCGTCATCATCCTCATCCTCATCCTCATCCTCATCCTCATCATCATCATCATCATCGTCCTCCTCAGCATCAGCACCATGATCATCATGGTCATCATGATCATCATCATCATCATCATCATCATCATCATCATCATCATCATCATCATCATCCTGCTCCTCCTCCTCCTCCTCCTGCTCCTGCCCCCTCCTCTTCGTCGTGGGTGCCATCTCTGCTCAAACTGCACAAGCCGCCCCCGTGCGAGAGCCCTTCCGCACTCTCCCGGTAGAAATTATGGTAGAAATGGCACCGGCCGTCGCCGCCACGATGATTGCGCAGCGTTTCCACCCTAGAAAGTGCTCACAGTTCCGCAGTGAAGTCAGGCAGTGACAATTGCTCAGCTGCTGTTTCGGCCAAGCCGCCGATCGTGTCCAGCACAGCTGCTTCGGGAGACTCCCGTTTCAGCAACAGCTCTGCAAGGACCGACTGAAAATGTCGAAGCGCATTGGCTTCGAGCGGTGGCCATTTCGCAGCTTCGTATTCTTTCCGTGCCAACAAAGACCGGCTCTGGTTGATCTTGGCCAACCGGTCGAAATTCAAGCCACGTTCCAAAGCAAGACCAGTCAAGGCAGGCACCCGAGACAAGACGGTAAACGTACCGCCCAGATGCATTTCCGTGTCGCCCAAGTTTGCAGCAACACAAGGAATTGTCATGCCCTGGGACTTGTGCATCGTGGCTTAAAACTGCCACCCGAAATATCCTCACCCGCTGGCTTAAAACTGCCACCGAAATATCCTCACCCGAGATATACTCACCCGCTGGCCTAAAACTGCCACCCGAGATATCCTCACCCGCTGGCTTAAAACTGCCACCGAAATATCCTCACCCGCTGGCTTAAAACTGCCACCGAAATATCCTCACCCGCTGGCTTAAAACTGCCACCCGAGATATCCTCACCCGCTGGCTTAAAACTGCCACGCGAAATATCCTCACCCGCTGGCTTAAAACTGCCACCCGAAATATCCTCACCCGTTGGCTTAAAACTGCCACCAAAATATCCTCACCCGAGATATCCTCACCCGCTGGCTTAAAACTTCCACCGAAATATCCTCACCCGCTGGCTTAAAACTGCCACCCGAAATATCCTCACCCGCTGGCTTAAAACTGCCACCCGAGATATCCTCACCCGCTGGCTGCCACCCCTCACCCGCTGGCAAAAAACTGCCACCCGAAATATCCTCATCCGAAATATCTTCACCCGCTGGCTTAAAACTGCCACGCGAGATATCCTCACCCGCTGGCGTAAAACTGCCACGCGAAATATCCTCACCCGCTGGCGTAAAACTGCCACCGAAATATCCTCACCCGAGATATGCTCACCCGCTGGCTTAAAACTGCCACCGAAACATCCTCAACCGCTGGCGCTTAAAACTGCCACCCGAAATATCCTCTCACCCGCTGGCTTAAAACTGCCACGCGAAATATCCTCACCCGCTGGCTTAAAACTGCCACCCTAAATATCCTCAGCCGTTGGCTTAAAACTGCCACCAAAATATCCTCACCCGAGATATCCTCACCCGCTGGCTTAAAACTTCCACCGAAATATCCTCACCCGCTGGCTTAAAACTGCCACCCGAGATATCCGCACCCGCTGGCTTAAAACTGCCACCCGAGATATCCTCACCCGCTGGCTTAAACCTGCCACCCGAGATATCCTCACCCGCTGGCTTAAAACTGCCACCCGAAATATCCTCATCCGAAATATCTTCACCCGCTGGCTTAAAACTGCCACGCGAGATATCCTCACCCGCTGGCGTAAAACTGCCACCCGAAATATCCTCACCCGCTGGCGTAAAACTGCCACCGAAATATCCTCACCCGAGATATCCTCACCCGCTGGCTTAAAACTGCCACCGAAACATCCTCACCCGCTGGCGCTTAAAACTGCCACCGAAATATCCTCACCCGCTGGCTTAAAACTGCCACCGAAATATGCTCACCAGCTGGCTTAAAACTGCCACCCGAAATATCCTCACCCGCTGGCTTAAAACTGCCACCCAAATATTCTCACCCGCTGGCTTAAAACTGCCACCCGAGATATCCTCACCCGCTGGCTTAAAACTGCCACCCGAGATATCCTCACCCGCTGGCTTAAACCTGCCACCCGAGATATCCTCACCCGCTGGCTGAAAACTGCCACCCGAAATATCCTCATCCGAAATATCTTCACCCGCTGGCTTAAAACTGCCACGCGAGATATCCTCACCCGCTGGCTTAAACCTGCCACCCGAAATATCCTCACCCGCTGGCGTAAAACTGCCACCGAAATATCCTCACCCGAGATATCCTCACCCGCTGGCTTAAAACTGCCACCGAAACATCCTCACCCGCTGGCGCTTAAAACTGCCACCGAAATATCCTCTCACCCGCTGGCTTAAAACTGCCACCGAAATATGCTCACCAGCTGGCTTAAAACTGCCACCCGAAATATCCTCACTCGCGGAAATAAAACTGCCATCTAACGGCCTGGTGGTTCAGTTCAGTCTGTCAGTGTCTACCTCGCGAGAATCAAATTACGGGCTGCGCCCGTAAAATGAGGAGGAGGAGGAGGAGGAGGAGGAGGAGCCAGGGGGAGGAGGAGGAGGAGGAGGAGGAGGAGGAGGAGCAGGAGGAACCAGGAGGAGGAGGCGGCGGCGGCGGAGCCAGCGGCGGAGCTGGCTGGCTGAACGGCGCGACGTGCATTGTCGTGCTGCTCCACCTTGTCTTGATGTTCGCTGTGGAGGTCGGAAGGTGTGCCTGTAGGTTGTTCGCGACTTCTCTTCATGTTGCCAGGAGGAGGGACTCTGCCATCCCCGCGCCGTTCGCAGAACGAGCTGCAGCGCCGGTTCCTTGGATCGGCGCTGGGCCCCGGGGCCTGCCTCTGGCGCCGACCTTGGCGCGCTCCGTACGCCAGGGAGGGGGATCCAGCGCAGATCCGGGACATTTGCGCGGACCGTCGGAAGTTCATGTTTTAAGTTAAGCGCTGGGTTCTTTCTCCATTCGCGAGCAAGCAAGCGCGACCCGAGATTGATGGTCACTTTCGGCCTCCCGAGAGGAGGGGCCCTGGCATTCCCGTGTCGTGCGCAAAAATCAAGGTTCGACTGGTCAGTTTCGGCCTCTGGGGAGGATGGGCCCCGGCATTCTCGCGTCGTGCGCAAAAATGACGACCCGAGGTTTCCAGTCATCTCCGTCCTCTGCCAGGGAGGATGGGCCCTGACATCTGGCGTCCTGCGCAAAAGCCACGTTCCGGGACTTCTGGTCGCCCTCGGCTCCCGGGGGGCCCGCGCGAGGCCCCCGGGCCGTCGCGAGAAACGGCTCACGTTGCAATGCCGATCCCGGGGTGGGGGTCCAGACCTCGGGGGAGAACCACGTCGTGAAGCAAGCACGACGTCGGACGTCTGGAGGAGCAGGGAGGACGGCTCCCCGACGGGCCCCAGGCCCGAGGTTTGCATCTGCGTGGTTCTGGGAGTCCGTCCGACGCCTCCCTCGAGTCTGGGCCCCCCGTTTTTTTATGTTTTGTGTGTGTATGTGTGTGTGTGTGTCTGTGTGTGTGTGTGTTGCTCTCCCTCTCTCCCCCCCTCTCTCCATCTCTCCCGCTCTCCCTTTCTCTCCCTCTCTCTCTATCTCTCTCTCTCTCTCTCTTTCTTTCTGTACTTCCTGTACGTATACTATTTTTTGTTGTCTCTCGCTCTCTCTCTCTCTCTCTCTTTCTGTCTTGATTCATTGGCTGACGCCGCACCGCCGACCCCTTGGGGCGGCAGTAAGATTGAAAAACGGAGTTAGCGGAACGATTTCTGGGGAATCTGGAGGTTTCAGCTTCTCGGGATTTCGTCGGGGGCGCTTGGCGGATCGCCGCTCTGCTCTTGGGCTTCTCTGGGCTCTCCTGGCAGCACTTTTGAGGCCTCTTGGGGGTCGTTTTGAGGCCTCCAGGAGCCTCTTTTGGGCCTCTCGGGGGCCTCGTGGGAGCTTCTTGGGGGCCTATTGGCGCCTCCTCAAGTTTTTCCCCATATCCTAAGGATTGGGGTTCTTGTTATTACTCTGACGCCTCCCACTGCTCCTCCTTCCTCCCGCTCGCGCCTCCCTCCTCCCAATGATAATCACCAGATAAGACAAGACAAGATAATATACTACAATATAAGATAAGATAGCACAATATATGATAAGGTAAGATAAGATATATGACAAGATCGGATAATATATAAGCTAAGACAGCCTATGGATTAATAATATAAGACAAGATATGATGCGATAAGATGAGTTGATATAAGATAAGCTAAGACAAGATAAGATATTTCAAGATAAGATAAGATAGAGGGTAATAAAGGTAAGATAAGA